GTGCTCTGTTCGTTTAATATAATTTATGTTTCCAATTTTCTATTAATAATATTTTATATGGCAGAATAAGATTTGTTTCTAGCTAGTCATATTAGTTGGAATTTTCCAAATGGTTCACTTTAACGTTCATTTCTGTTATTGCCAGTAATTGTAGAAATCGTTTCGAGATTCATTTCAATGACGTAATCTAATAAACAAGAATAAATGTCGAAACCGTTATTTCTTTAATGGATAACTACGTTTTTATTTGTGGATTCAAACGATATACTTCAACGATACACTTTTGATTATATATCAAACTCAACAAATTTGTCAAATTTGTGAGGAATTCTTTCAATTTCCTATAGAAAAGTTGAAGAGTGGTGACATTGTTTCCCGATCAAATTCGACATTCCTTTTTATGCCCTCCGATTGCGAGCACGGAGGCGTCAAGAAATAAAAAACACAATGACAACAAAACAAAGCGGTTTATTTCATATTTTTCTTGTTACCCCATTCGTGTTCAGTATAAAAAGCCGTGCCACAAAAAATTTTGCGGCGGGGGCGCCGACAGTATTCGTTGTTTTGCCCTATTCGTCGAAAAATGAGCCAACGATATGCGCGCTTTTTGAAAAATCAAGACGTTCCTCTGAGCCGACTATCTACTGAAGAGCTCTTACGCAGAGTTGACTTTAACCGGCAGGCGTATGTTGTCGATATATGCACTTGTAACAAGAAATGCCAGGTATTTTTCTCATCGATCGTCGTCCAATAGGCTTGTGTGTTCGTCCGGCGGTTTTTGTAGCTGATGTAATAATGGGATCTTCAGTGTTTCTATCATGCTTTTACCGTTGTATGCGTCATTTAAAAGTCTATTGGTAGGATTAGTTGCTTCTTTACAATCGTCGAGTCGTGTTTCAATTTCCAGTTCATCTATTTTTATTAGGCCAAGTTAGTTTATCTACAATCATTAAAGAATTTTTTCTATAATTTTTAATCATATTAGACTCTTCTAAGCAAAATTTGTTAAAAGTTTTGTTGAGACTATTTAACTACTTATATAGAATTACTCTCCGCCCATTGCATTTCTCCAAATAATGGTTTATTAATATTTGTGTCATCATTTATTTTCAAAAAAAAAAGCAGATTTGTCACCCATTTGGTTCAGGCTCATATAGTTCAACTAGAGGCTAGTTTTTTTGTTCCTCCTCGTGCTTGAAATATTCCATAGTAGGCTAGCTAGTGTACTTTGAAATGGAAAACGTCATATAAGATTAGCTTGCCGAAGCTGTCACGAATTCATTAGTTTGAGCCAGATCTTCGAATAAATTCACTTGTATGAGACGTTTAAATGATTTGTGTGCCTCCTTCATATTCATTACACTATTCGAGATTTCATTCCAGATTGTTGTGCTGGATCAACAGTTTCCCAACTCGTTTCTTTATGTTTACATTTGACGGAGATGGTGATGATGAGGGGAAAACAATAATAGACTCATATATACATACAAGACACAAACATCAACCAGCACTACTCCAAAACAAAACCCTGTTCTAGTAACTTTGGAGAATAGTAACAAAAAAAATGGTCAACAACGGTATTTTTCCTGAATAATTGCGCTTTAGTTATATTATTCACACTGCTCTTAATTTACGAATTTTTGTAAATTTGTTTTTCGATATATACTTCTTGTGAACTTTCTATTATTTTCAAGCGGGGTTGTTTTTATTGTCCTTCCTGTTTATGATGGTTCTTTCAAAACCTTACTGAACTTTTACGCATTTGGAATTCTACAATGAGAGAACTGAATTTTTCATTTCTGCAGTTCTTTCAGGAAAAAAATGTGTTTCATTTCTGCGAAATAATGAGTGCCGCTATATTTTGTGAATAATCAAGTAGCTAATGTTATTGTTTTTAGCCCTTTTTGTTTTACCTTGTTACTAGAACTATATAATTTTTGAATATCACTTAAAGCTGTGAATATTTGTTTAATTATCATTGTCTCTGATAATTTTTAGAAACATTTCTACTGAATCTTTTTTTTTCAGCCGATCACAATGTATCAATCGCAACCTCCCCCCAATTACCAATACCCGGGAGCGCAGCAGGCTCCACAGCAGCAGCAGCATCCACAGCATCCTCAACAGCAGATGCCGCCACAGCTTCAACAGCAACATCAACAGCAACTTCAGTACCAGCAACATATTCAGCAACAACGTATGCAGCATATACAGCAACATGCGCAGCAAATGCCATTGCAACACCAACAGCATTATTCAGGCTCGCACCAGCAGCAACTCCCCCAGCAGCTTCCTCTACAACATCCTCAACATCAGCCGTCGAATCAGAACCAATTACAGCAGCAGCAACAGTATCCGAAACATCCGCAACAACTTCAAGCGCCGCAAGGATATGGAATGCAAATGGGATCGATGAACGGATCGCAGATGGGAATACAACCAACCAACATGCCGGTTGTTCCTCAACCACCGCAATCGTGAGTTCATTAATCTTCTTTTGAGAAATGAGGCGGGTGTGAGACATATTTGATGAGTAATGAGGGTTCGAAACGTCGTGGTGGTGCCACCCACCATTTTCATTTGTCTACCTTTTAGCAGAAACAAATCCTTACAATTTATGTTGAGTTTATACGTTGCTGTGTGATTATAATTACAGAAATAATATTTTAAATGCATTGTTTTTATTTTTGACCACTCAAAAACAGGATGAGCGCTCGAAAATTTTCAATCTTTTTCTGAACAAAACTTTTTTCTTTATTTGAGTTAATCGAAATGTTTCGTGACAAATTTTATCATCATCGAAACGACTCAATGTTAATACATTAAATACGATTGAAGCAACGTCGTGACCTATTTCATTCGCATATTATTTTCGACGATTTAGAGACTCGAATATAGAAAAAAACATGCAATTTTTATTATCGTCGCGCCGCGTTCGAACAGAAAATAACACTTTTTTTCTAACCTTTCACTTTCAAGGCATTGCGTTTGGAATCGCGAATTGAGTGTTCTGCTCGATGCGTTGACTTTTTTTGACCTTGGCAAGTTCTCGACAAAAGTCACTCGGCCCCCTTTTCAAACACAACAAAGCTAATTATATTTATTCTCGAAGAACGTCTGAGAGCAATGAAGAAATGCGATTTAAATCTGGGGAGGGGGTGGTTTTATAACCAATTAATTAATTCATAATTTAATTAAATCAAATAATGACATCATATAGATTTTTAAAGAAAAATCCACAATTTCGTCATTCAAAGTTTATATCACCCACTCATCTAGAAAATGAAAGTCTACTAGAATCATGAATGTTCAATTTATTTATCACATCTTTAAATATATAGTTTTATGCACATCTTCTCAGAAGACTTGGAATGGCAAAAACAAATTATTTTCATTTTTTTTCCAAATAAAAAGCGCTGTAGATTTTTGTTTTTTTGCCCGACACATAGTATCTTTCGATAAATCCGTGAGCTCAAAACATCCTGTCTGACTACGAAAAACAATGTGAGCCAAAAGCTGAAGCGAACGCTGCTGCACGCCCCAAAAAGGAACGAAGTGGCTTGAAAAAAAATTGAACACAAGAAGACAAAAATTGTCTTTATATTTGATGATTGTGTTGTACAAGATCCATTCGGATGAGCGAGTATGCGGCAGGGCTGTTTATCGTGAGTTATTTTCCCCGTCGCGCAGAAAACAGAAAATTGCTCTTGCTATGCAGAAAATAAACCGGTGGTTTAAGTTTTGAAGTAAAAAAAATAAACTTGTAGCCCAAACTACAAGTTTCATGCAAGCCTCTTCAAACAAATAGTTTCTGCTATATTTTATGAATATTATTGAGAAATGTTTGTATTTCCTAGCAACAATGACGTAGGAATTCGGATTTTCCAAAACAGTTTCATAGGCTTCAGCTTCTTAGCGCTGATTAAAAAAAAATAATAGAGCAAACTATATTAAATGCATATATCTGCCTCTGAATGTTCTAATTTATGCGCATATATTATTCTCTTCACAAACGCTTTGACCAAACAGCGAATAATATTGGTTTCTAGTCATTTTAATAAAATAAAATAGCCAGCCTTACCGATTTTAATTACTACCAAAATTTGTTAACCCAAGTAAATTCCTTATTATCGAAATGTTGCTTTTTGCTGATTGCTTCCTATGTAAGAAATGATGTTCTATTAATGCTATTCTGTTTTGTCCAGTATAATTGTAAAAATGACATCATTTGAGCAATTACTGAGCACTTCCTGAAAAGAGTTCGAGGCTGCAGAATTTGTTTTTTTTTCACGTCTTTTTACTTTCTATTTTTTTTCGAAACTCTTTCGTCCCATTAGAACAGCATGCATAGCCACAAATATTGGAAGGTGTTTTCAATTTTTTGAAGCGCTCCAAAGTATGTAGCTGTTGGAAGGAAAAATAATGAAAACCAGAATTTTTGGCCACACACTGAATCATTTTTTTTGTTTGGAGGGACACTTGTTTTATTTACAGAGGCTGAAAATTGCAGTAGTTGATTTTGCTGGAAAATATAAGACTAGCTAACAAAATCTGTTGTGTTTTTCGTCGTCACATTCATCAAAAGAAACAAATTCGATTGCTGCATTTGTTTTTACTGGTGGTCCGTTCCATCAGGCAGTGCCCGCCTTGGCGAAAACATCTGTTATGGCTCAAAACAAGTATATAGTTTTGTTGACACCAGAAATAAATATATATATATATATATTTATTTATTTATTTATTTATCGAAAACTTCAACTAAATTGTTTCCACTAGAAATCACCCATTCCTAAAAAATATTGGCGTCCTCTTTGGGATAATCGAATCTGAAACACATTATCAACCGAACTAGTTTTTGTTTGGTTATTTGCTTTTTCGGCGTGAAACGAACATGACAAGCCAAAACAACGCGAATTGTTATTCTGCGCACTTGCAGTCAGTCAAGAATTTGTTTCAGCTCGTCGTACGTGAGCAATCAACCGCAGCCAGGAATGCAGAGAATGATGACATCGTCGCAGGTGTCCCAGCAAATGCAGCTACCGCAGCAGATGCCCCAACAGCCACAGGCGATGCCACAGCACCAGCAAATTCCGCAACATCAGCAGCCTCCAAAACGCGCTACATGGGAGTATTACCAGCAGCAGCAACAGCAGCAACAGCAGGTTTTCTTGGTTTATGTTTTTTTTTTTCAAATTAAATCAAAAATCTATGAGCTAAACAGCAGACCGGACAACTGTTCAAGATTTATTAATTGTGCGAACTAGAGAACATTCGAATGCTTCGAAAATTGTGGGACCGAGGGATCGAACTTTTACAAATTCTATTTTTTGGGGGACTTTCGAGCTCTAAATCGTTTGAAAGAGTTTCTAATTGTAGCATTACGAAATTTCTTACAATTTAATGAAAAAAATTACAATAACTCAGCATTTTCGACCAAGTAGTGATTCACTATAAAATAAGACCACTCTGTTTCATAACAATGAAACGTCACTTTCCCTCCAATAAATTTCTCTTTTATCAAATTTCCCAACGCATTTCTCACGAAGTTTTCACACATTAATCACTGTTTGCGAATTATTGAAAAAATCCAATGGTAGGGAGTTTTCGGCAAGGTTTTAGAAAAATCAATCCAACGCTACTTATTTTCTTATTCATCATTTTTTTTCTCATTCATCTGAACCCGATTATCAAAAAATGGCCGATAATGAGATCGAGCTCAAAAAATGCTTTGGTTCATTTGAAACGTTTTTTTATCCATCGGAAGACAAATTCGAAGGGTTAAAAATTATTTTTCAATGTTTTACATAAATTGTTAATAGTAATCATATATCTTACACATACTTTTTTTTAACAAATCGAAAATTGTGGTTTAAAAACGCATAATTATAATTCTCATTGGCAAAAACGTAACACGATACTTTATGATCAGGTGTACATTTTGTTTATCGAAGTGCAATGTTCCATGACTCCACGAAATGAAACCGCAATCCCATTTCCCGTAATTTTGCTCTATTTGAATTAAAATACTTGGTGTTTATAACTGAAAATAGTTTTAGAATCTTCACAATTTAAACAATTACTGTTAAGTAGTAAAAAACTTTATACGTCCGGGTTTTTGTTCTCAATTCCCAAAAGAGAGCCGCTGATCGGCCAGGCATATGTTCTTTTGGAAACGAAGAATTTAGAAAACGCGCACTTTATTTTTTTTTATTCGCTGCCAACATAAACTAGGATGTACGAGCTCGAAAATAAGATAATCTATGTTTAAATTTTTTTTTAAGTAAAATAAGATGGATTTATAATAACCAATTTTCAAATTTTTTTCTGATTCCTCCATGCTTTTTGTATATTCAAACGATGATGAAGATTCTGTTTTCCTTTTAGAAACATATTCGTTTGGAATAGTTGCGTCTGTGCCAACATTAATAATTCCAAAAGTGATGAAATATTGCTGAGACCGAGAGAGACAGAGAGAGTCCTTTATACACTCCTCCGCGTTTCTTCAGATATTCATTTTCTTCTTCATTCTCGATATTTTAGATGAATTATATGCAAGTCCCCCCGAACAATCAACCACCGCCAGCAATGCAGCAGCAGCAGTCGCAGGCGCCGCAATCATCGAAGACCACCAACAAAAGGAAGCGTTCTAATAAGGCGGCATTTGAACCAGAGCTTCAAATGCCTCATTATCCGCCACCGCCTCCATATGCTGCATATGGGCAGGTTAGTTTGCTGAAAATTGAATATCAACTCGAATCTTCTTCCCGTTTCATTTCTTTTCTTTCGTGAAGCGTTGAAATTCTGACATGTTCTAAAGTTTCATAAATCAAATTCGTCAGGCATTTAAAAATCCTGACATGTTTGTTATCCTTCTATTCAAATTGACTTTCAAACTTTACTAAAAAAAATCTTTGCGAGAGTTTCTCTAAATGTGGCACTAATTGAATATGAATTATAGGATCCAATGATGCGACCGCCAAATATGGGTATGCCGCAGCAACAACAGCAACCGCAGCAAGCACCTCATATCCCGCAAGGAAATCAAGTGCCACAAATTCAAATGCAACACGCAGCTAACGGCCAGCAACCGTTCAATCAAGCAAATCCAAAGTATGCATTTTATTCGTTAAATTTAAATAATTAGCGACCGCTGACAACATTCGGCGAGGCAAGGCGACAGCATGGAAAACATCTTTGTTTATAGGTCGGAATTCGTTCGCATAGGACTCCGCAATGCCCTTTATGCCAAACAACAACAACAGCGCAATTTTGAGCAACACAACCCACACCACACCCAACAACAACAACAACAACAACAACAAAAGCAGCAGCACGAACAGCGTATGTTTCATTAAAATCTTCTTCAGAATCATTCGTTGGCCCTTTCGTGCAGCAGTCATAGTTGCGGACAAATGTGCCCTTCTTCCGTTAAAAATGTTTTTATGGATTTTCCCGCAAACTGCTCAAATGTTCAGAAATCTGCTGCACTTATTATTTATTAAAATACAATTGACAAAAATTATTTTCTATACTATTTTAGTACTATTTTTAGTAGCTTTTTCTGATTGCTTCCTATCGCGCAATCATCGTTAACAAATTTTCCAATTTTAGCTCAGTCGCCAATTCCTTAAATAATCGTTTCGCTGAATATTTAGTCATCAAAACTCTTTGGAGCGTTTCGTTTGAAACACCAAGACTAGTGGTTTTCACGTCCCAATTGCAGACCACGCCCAATATAAGAGCTCAACGAGCTTTATTTCTTTTTTCACCAGCTCATTTTTTTCAGAGGGAATGCAACAAGTTGTTCCACAGCAACAACAGCAAGGGACTGCTCAACAACAGTATCAGCAACAGCTTCTTCAACAGCAAATGACGCAACATTCTATGCAGCCGCCACCACAACATCAGATGCAAGCACCACCACAACATCAAATGCAACCGCCTCCACAGCATCAGATTCAACCTTCTCCACAACATCAAATGGCTGCTCAACGCCAAATGCCGCCGACTCCTCAACTCCAGATGCCACAGGCACCGCAGCATCAAATGCCGCAATCTCAGCAGCATCCAATTCAACAGCTGCAGCTGCAACATCAGCAACAAAAGAATTCCGCTGTTCCGCAGAAGCCTGATCAGCAAATGTCGCTGCAAATTAACCCTATGCACCAAATAGGAGCACCTCAGCCACAACAGAATCAAACCACACCAATTTCGAGTGTTGCCAGCAATAGCTCAACTTCAAGCAGCCTTGATTTTGCCAATGATTTCAACTTCCCTGACTTGGTAATTTTTTTTTATTATAGCAGGTTTTTGAGATTTTTTTCCAGGACAACCCAGTTCCAGTCTCATATGCTGAATTAGAGCAAAGCTTGGAACGAATGGAAGTGATGGACTTTCAACTTGCCGGACGCTGCGGATTCGATATGGAAAATGAGAGCACCCGTACTCTCGTAATGCAACTTCTTATGCTTAAATAAAAAGCAAACAAAAAAACAATAAATACAGTACTGCGCGTTCGGTTGCAAAAATAAAACATTTCCTACGACTCTAACTGTCGTTTCGATCTCAAATTTTTCCACTCTCTAGTAGTCCAATAGTAGCTGAAGAATCATTGCTTCTTTTTGTTGAGTTTCTATCGCCAGTTCTTGTCGTTCTAAAAAGTTGCTCTACCGCGTGTTTTTTTTTCTTAAAGTAACCAATTATTATTACATTTATTTTTTTTTCCACACAAATGTACTTCGGTCCACTCATATGAGTTGTTAATAGGCAATTAAACTTTCAATAGATGTTCATCTGTTCCTTAGCAGAGGTCACTGGTATAGGTGTCCCACATATTAGTTACAAATTGATTTTGATTCATTTCCATATATGTTTCCTTGTCCCCCTTAATATTGTATCGTCTCGTTATTTATCTCTCATGTTTTTTTTTAACTTGATTTCCCTTTTAAAATATGTATTTATCCTGCAATATCAAACCCGAATACTGACCTTTACATTTTAAATAACTAGTTTTGGTTTCAGCAAAAGACTACAGATTTGCACTTTGGCTTTTCTGTTTGATTTAATATATTACTGCTTCGGTGTGTTCAATAAAATAATTTAATAAGTATATATTGGTTTTCAGTGAACCTATTCTTGGTATTTCTTCATCATCTTGTTGGCATCGGTCGGCTTTTCATGATGATAAAAAATTGGATTTGTTATACATATATACATATATATTCTCTGAATATTCGAATTTGTTTGAAAATTGGGGAACCATTCAATTGGCAAAGAAACAAATATAAAAGAAGAAAAACGTGGCTTAAATACGGATTACACCATAATTTGAGACGAATTCAGTGCCTTTTTGGCACGATACTCAGACACTCCAAATATAAAATTCTCATAAATAAGCACTTCATATTACATGAAATACCGACATATAACTTAAATAAATGTATGTGTAAAAAAGATTATTTTGATTAAACAATTAAAAAAAATATGCTTGAACAAATGAAGTGAATTCTTTTTTTAAATATTATATATCGAAGAAGATACATATTTAATATGATTAAATTCACTACAAATTTTCGATCTTTTTCACTACATTGAACGACAAAATTCTTATACAATGTCGGAATATAAATAAAGTTATTGGTACAGAAAAAAGCAAAATTTTGAAATTGAAGACAATTAATATTTAATTTTTAAAGAGCTTAAAGTTGCTGATTAACATTTGGTATTTGTATGAAGCATTTTGCAATTTATCTTGACAATTTCCGTATTGTCAAAACAATTTTTCATCGCGTATTATTTTACATAATTATGCAATACAAAACAATTGGTGTAATAAAGTTGACCTCCTGCTGTTACTGCGGCATACTGATGTCAATCTAGCCGGTAGTTTTCAAGTCATTGTAGAAAATATTGCCTGGTATTTATTGAAGCAATATATTAATAGAGAGTCAATTTATGCGTATGTGCTTTTCGCTATAGTCTCGAACCATGTAAGTTCTTATTTTATTGTTTTCACGCTAACTTTTTATCTTGCGGCGTTTGCGATGTCTGTTCAAATGAACAATATTGAAGTTAATATTTGAAAACGAAATAAGCAATGTATCCACGCGAGGCCATAGCGAAGGACGCATTGCTTATTCAATAAAATGATTATTCAATAAATCGATTTCCAAATGATTATTTTATATTTGTATTATATAAATGCGCAAATATTATCCGATATTACTCAAATAGCTGTAATTAGCGAACTCATTAAAATTTAAGATATAAATTTTAAGGTTACGGTTATTTAGTTCATTTTAGTTCGCTGCTTATATTTATTTTACAGTTTATAATTCTTATTTATGTATGTATAAAACCATTACGATATACGGATAAAGAATTACTTTAAAAAATTTTGTAAGGGAACTTATGTTAAAGGGTTGCAATAAAAAACAAACGTTGTGTTATGAAGCCTATGTTATTCATTATTTGGTATTATTTCGATTTATCGCTGTTTCCAGGAAATAAAAAAGGCGTGTCTTCCAATTTGAATTGCGCTAACTAACTCATAAACTGATTTAGTGGATGAAAAATAAACTTCATTGTTAGTTATTTAAATTTAGCAATTTCGAGTTAAAATGAGCACCGTAGATTCCCAGGATATTTCAAATGTTCATATTTGTGTGTAATCGACATAAAATATAATTCAACTCATCGTTTGTTATCGAATGAATTTAGCAGCCCTCAATAGATACATGATGCGTATTCAATGATGAGATAATTTTGAACATTAGCTGAATCTCGGCAAAAACTTTTGAATAATATTATTGGTTCGAGATTGTCTCAATTATTTGCAAGCTAAATATTTTATTGTAATATTTCTCTAATACTATTTTCAGTTTTTTTGGTTTGCTCTGTGTTTTTATTGCCTCGGTCCGAACACAAACAAACCAACAATTCCACGTTAAATCCATGTTTTCGATATTTTCTTTGTTCGAAAAATAAGAGGTGGCATATTTTGCCGAAAATCTATATCTCATTATTTTCGCGGCATAACGCCGTTATTGGTGAATTTTGAAAGAAAAACGACTTTCTTGTGAATCTTCTTCATGTTTTAATAAAAACTTTGAGGTTAGAAGAACACGAATATGTAGGTCTATAGTAGATTCTAGAAGCATGTTTAATGCAATTTCTTTGGAATATTCACGCAGTGCTGATTAAAGTGCAACGAATCCTTTCATACTTTGACTAAAAACTTATAAGACCGAGAAATACGTTTCCAACAGTTATTAAAAAATCAACTCTTTGAAATTTTTTGAATGTTAATAGAGAAAAAATGCATACGACGGTTATTGTAAAGGAAAACAAATTCTCTTAGACTCAATTGCCAATGGCACTATTATTTACTTATCAAAAAGTATTCAAACCTACGTTCATAGATAAATAGTTGATAATTTTTTATAACTTTTGTCAACAGGCGACTCATTCGCCGTTTTGAAGTTTTTTTGTTAGAATCTTTGATTTGATCCAAAACAATTAGTTTCACAATACCATTTTCATAATATATTATGGCATAAACAATTTTTTCTGTGTTCTCCTTTTTGTAACTGTTTCTTCAAGTCTAAAAATTGAGCGTTCAATGAGTTAGATGTTTCCAAGTTTGAACACACAATAATTAATCTTTGTTTAATTAGTGATGGAATTTACACGTGTCGTAATTGGCAATTATCGTAGTTTTCAACATCATCTTAAAATAAAAGTAAAAAGTTTCTTGATCGAGTTAGCTTGAGTGTGCATCATCGACTTCATGCAAGCCATTTGAAATCTTTACGAATATTCTGCATTAAAATACTTTTGAAATATTGATTTTTGAATTGAAACATTCGTTTCACTGAATTATCGTTGTTCTTTACTTCTACTTCAATTTGGGTCGTCAAACAAATTTTTTAAAAATCCCACTTACAATCCCACTTGTTAGCTAACTTTTATGCAAACTGTTGTCTTTAAAATTGAAATGTTAAAAATGTATTAAAAAAACGCTAAATTTTGCACGGCAGATTAACAGATTCCCTCTCTCTTTCATGTGAATTTTCATATATTTTTTGTAACCTTATTTGGGTAATAGCTTCTTAGGTATTCTGAAATCACTACAATTAACATACCTGTTTCCTACATGTTGACGCTAATAATACTTGCTTGCATCTTTATGATAGAAGGTCGTATAATACAATAAAATATAATAGAACAAAGCGCACAACCCATTATATAAAATCTATTCCTTTATTTCGAAACTTTCGCGTGGTCGAGCAACAATATTCGAAGAAATTAGCCAACAAATAAACAATTCTCGATTTTCGTGCAAAACGCAGATTTTCCATCACATTTTACACCAAAATTCGATTTTCAACCTTTTAGATTTTAACGTTCCGAAAACTTGTGGCTCAATAGACTGTTTCTCGCATATTAGTCTTTGCAGTCTTAAATTTCCAGTTGAATTTTCTTTACACATTTTATCTACTATAAAATTTTTGATTTAAATTTTTTTCGTTTTCTCTTACGTAGGCGTCTAACAAAGACAAATTTTTATTGCTATAGAGAGCAATTCAGCAAAACCGCCTTGTTTTAGAATTTTTCATGAGAACGAAAGACAAATCCTCTCATTGTTGGAGAACGCCACAACCATTTCGGTCTATTGTTTCTCCTAGATTTAATTGCAACGAAGCATCAAAATATTAGGTCACGTTTTGTTATGGTGACGTTTTTTTTCTCGACCGAAAATGCACCGATGATGTAAAATTAATGAAATTTTTTTTTCATTCATCTCCTACTCCTTCAACCTGTCTTTCTCTTCTTTGTTGATTGTTGCCGTAGTTGAGCAAACAAAATACAAAGCATAACTTGAGCTTCATCCCTAATGGATTTTCACACCCGTTTGCAACAAAAATATGTTGTAAAATTGCATTGTTTGCCCACACTACTAGTTTAATTCTATTAATATACTGGGAATAGGTTCAGTGTTGTGAGAAAAGGACATTGTGTATAGCAAATTCAGTTGTTTTCAATCCGAGCATTCGTTTAAAACTCATAAACATTTCATAAACTCGCATCAGTTCAAAAGTTTTAGTTTCTTTTTCCTCAAGTCATTCTAGTCTTTATGGAATAATTTATGCTTTTCTAGATATTAGTTTCAAATTTTGATTTCTTCAATTTTATGCATTTATTTATGTAATGGTTTTTTTCTTGATTACCCCTGGTGTGAATGAATAAAAAAAAATAGTATTTATTCATGCTATTTTTCAGAATGTTGCGATCTTGCATGTCGGATCACATTCTTATCAAACCCGGTCACATCGAGTTCATGAGAGAATGGAACAATGGAATAGGCAAGTATTATATTATAATTTCAATCGTTAATGAAAATTCCAAATTAAGAGTAAAATGTAAAATGTGTAAAAATTCAATTCGAATTTGTCAAACTTCGATGTCAATTAAAAGTCATATAATATAACTCCTCTTAAAAATAATATGAGATTTAATTATTATTCACCCTTAATTCTTACATATAAATGATATATGTAGATGTAGTTGGTGCTCTACGCGTTACATGCATGATCTGTTTCATTCGCTATGGTCTCGCTACATGCGAATATTAAATTTGAATTGTTTATTTTTATTGTTAAATTTGTAAAAGGCGGCCTAAGAGATAAACAACAGAAAAAAAATGTCAACGAAAAATTCGAATTGACAGAGCTCATTAAATTTATGTAAATCAGTAATCACGGCTTGTTTTTCGTCTTGCCGTTCTATCTTTTTTTCGTTTAAGCAGGCTTCATTTTCATCTAATTTTCCTTGACGAAATTTTTCTAAGTCATAAAAAAGTTAACCGAAAAACACTGGAAAATAGCTGATAACAATAATCGTGTTTTGTTGAATCGTAAAACAATTTACGACCAAATGACTGAATGAAACAGACATCATCAGATAACATCATTGAACATCAAGATCACTTCTAGAAAACGGCAGGAATATTTTTAAATCTATTTAATATGAATTGATTCAGAAACTTTTTGATGGATTTGCCCACCACTTTTAGAAGTTCCATGAAAATCGAATATGCTCCCAAGGCAGTATGCCACCAATTCAATGGTTTGTGCTTCTTTCGGGACAATGACGTTTCTTCGTTTTCTGTTTCTGCAGCACAAATATTTATAGATGTTTAGAACGCGATTATGAATGTATATTAATGAACTAAAATATCTTACAACTAGTTGTTTTGGTATTCTCTCACCATACGACTTTTGAGATGTTCATTTTTTTACGAACTCTTAGGCAATAGGGTTTTGCATTAAATTGTATTTTTCCCACGGCTAGAGTGGCTTTGTTAGAAATGAAAACTACATAAAATCAAATCCATTGTGCGGGGGAAGATGATAACTTTTAGTTCTTATAGACTCATATCCAATTCTCCAATTTAAATTAAATTCGGAAAAACTCTACGGGATTGTTCTCGCCTCATCGGATGTATGTTTCCTTATCATGCATTTTGAAGACTATCAAGATCCTAATTTTTAGAGTAACATGAGCAGTAGAGGTCAAAAGGCAAAAGCGGGCAGCAGCAGCTCAAAGAAAAGAAAACAGAGAAAATTGGAGTACCGACTTCGCCGCAAGAATTCGGTTTTGATGGCCAATTTCCGCGAGGAATTCACCACACCAGGAGGATTGCAGAGGTCGTGGTCTTGTGTGGAATTGGGCAAGACACAATGTCGTGAGACGACTAGTACAAAGCGAGTCTCATTCTCATTGAGAACACCGACGAATTCTGTTGAAAATCTGGAGTCACTCCCGAATCCGAAGAAGGTAACAACATTGGCTGTTAGCCAATCAAACAATCATTTTCAGGAGCCTCGCTCAATTTTACGAAGCAACACGTCGTTCCTGGGTGGCAAAGATTCGCTCACACATATGGATTTTGACACGTTCAGTGCTTGGCGACGAGGATCGAAAATGAGCGATGATGTCGTCCGTTTCCAACAGTGCAGTGTTCCGACACTTGAAGAAATGAAGAGAAAACAGAAGAGGAAGGAGAACGATGAAGAAAACCATACCGCCATTAGCGAAGATGACTGGTGGATTGTCAAAGTGTTTAAAGTACGATTATTTTGACGTAGTGTGAAATCTAAAATTCTGCTTTAGCTTGGCATCACAAGTTGTTTCAATCGCAGAAGTGTCAACCCGGATCCACCAGAAACTATTAATGTCGATAGTCTCATAAACATGATTATCGCCTACTAATAATGTTTGTCTCATAATTTTTATTATCGAACATGATGGACCGGTAGAATGCAGTTGAAATTATGTGTAAAAATGTCGGATCTCAAGTAAAATATATTTCTCTTCGTCCTTCTGTTCTACTATCTGTACTTTTTATGCAATTTATTTATCTATGTTTACTGCTATTATGAATTCGTTGCACTATGTATGTATTAATCTTATATTCCTTGTAAGTTGAATTAATTGAATTGAATCGGAATGAAGGGCAGGAACAAGAAATTAATGAATACTTGACCGAAATGATTGTATGATGAAAACGAATAAGAAACAGATAAAGTATAGATGAAGAGAAGCGCAGGAAGTTAATTGGAACATTTTACCCGATTGTCAACGGACATACAGATATATGGGAGATAACCCATTACTCTTGAAATTTGGACAAAATATGGAGTTTAGTTTGGCTGAGAAACGGTGGCGTAAATCCAGTGGCAGCCAATCATTCCTTCCTTGGTGTCATGGATCATGGCGTTGAGTTTCTTTGGGTCCATGTTGTTGATTGGGCGGTCGAAGAGGCGCGCAGCAATAACAAGTGGGATTTCCTTAATGTTGAAAGTATTTAGTTTTTCTTGTAATTGTCAAAAATACCCCAGATCTGGCTCTTGAGCTAACGAAGAGGTCCCAAAGTTGTTCGGCCCTTGAAGAGTTCGAGTCAAGGAATGGAAGAAGTTCGCTCTTGGTTGGAAGGCAAACACGAAGGGAAAGATCGCTGTAACTTCCTGGATTTAATCCCTGCAATTGAGAACAATGTTTAAAAAAATGATTGTTCTTGAGCATAAACTTTGCTGGAGCATTGAGCAGGTTTGTTAGCCTGGAAGATTTGAACAAAGTTTTTCAATGATCCTCCCATGGTTCTGCAGATATCGCAGTGCACGCTGAAACGGTTATCTCGTAGAAAAATTGTTTCCCGATTAATAGGCGTACCATGATCCAATTCCTCCGCACCCGTTAGCGTCGGCATTCACACACCTCTCCGGTTTTCCATGAATTCCAATTCTAGTTTCAAGATGAACGTAGTATTTCTTAGATCCATCAAGTCCGGGTGCGAAAACCTTAATTGTTCATCAAATCAATTGAGGTAATCGCGAAATCCGCTACCTCGACATTGCCACCGGACATGCGGAAGCATTTGTGTCCGCTCTCGTTAATTTCCTCATGGAACTGAACACCAGCGGTCTTGTACGACGGGAACTTGATCAGCAATTGTTCTTTCTTTGGTCCTGGAAATTACAATGATTCATATCCCGACGGTAGCGCACGCGGCCTTTGTGTAATCAATTTGTCCATTATTATCAAACACGAAAAAATGATTCGTTTTGTCTGATGCATCATTATACGTCGTAAAAAGGAGAAGAGAGAATTAAAACAGGAAATCTGACTCGTTTGTCGAAATAGCCCACGTTTTCATCATTTTAATCTACAGTTTTATTAAAGTGGTGCGTGACATTCAAGGTCGCGCACTTCCCAAATTTCGTCTATCTGCATCGATTTGGATAACAAAATTGCCATTTTATTAGTAACATATCTATGAAAATGGGATAATTTAAGATTTTTATGAAAATTTATGAAACAAATTTTGACATTGAATTTTTTTGGGCATTGAAAATAACAAAATGTATTTCTAGAATAAGACAAAAAACACGTACCTGAACTAGCTGAGCACGGGAAATGCCGCTCGATACGCACTGAAATTTCTGAGTTGCCGGCAGCGGTGGCGATCGCCGTCAGGGCGCACAATAGCACGATTCTTCGGGTCGTCATCTACGTAGGACGTGTTTCTCGACACACTGGCCTTCGAGACACCTAAGACGACATGATAGGGCACGGTGGGCAGACGTTTTGGGCGAAAGTGGGCGGCGCATTAAATCGAAGTGGCTGACTATTCAACTTTGCAAAACCTTTGGTGTTTTGCCATTGTCGGAGGAACCATACGGTGGCCCGTTTCTACGTCACAACGAAACCATTGATGACCTTTTTGGGCAAAAATATGTCAAGTTCGGGTTTAATAATAGTTAATAAAAGAAACATCAAGTTAAGAAAACAAATTCCGTAAAAAATTGCTGCAACGTTCAAATCAAATAATTAAAATTATATTGCCATAAAAGGAATTTTTAAAAAACAATCCCTGTTTACACTGTTTCCATAAATAGACTGATTTGTCAATTTTTGTTGATTTATTCTATTACAAGACTTTGAGGAAAACTGTGTGTTCATATGGAAAGAAATTTTACCGAACCAGTTTTCATAGCTGTCAATTAAGTTAGTAATTCAATTTCAAGTAGTTTGAAACATGGAATCTTTGGTTTTAAAACAGTTTTACACTTCTTTCGAATGAAATGATTTGTAGCAAAGTTGTGTAAAAAATTTAATGGAGTTTCAAGTTGTGGAAATGTCCAAAGACTTTTTGAAGCATTGAAAAATTTCGAATTATATGAGATTTCAGGGGGAAGATTCTCTGAATTTATGATGAAACCTCAGTAAACTTCTAATCTAACAATTTTGACAACTTCGTGTCCAATGTAAAAAAAAATAATACTGATATAAACGTGTTTTCAATGCGTATCTTCCACCGTTTGATCTCTGAATTTATGTCCTGATCTTTCGTGATTCATACAACTCATTTTCGAAAAAAAAAAAACTGTTTATGTATTTTTTCAAAGTGTATTTTGCCTAGGGAAATTGTCTTGAAATATTTTGACTTCCAAAATAATACTTTTGGTGTAATGATTTAAAAACCAGAACATACTCTTTGAAACATTTTAAACACAAACAATCATGCAGTATTGTTAGTGACGATTTTCCTTTGTTCAATACCATTCTTTTTTTATTCAAGAGAATCAAGGCTATAAGAAAATTGATGACGTAGTAGTGACCCGAAACACAAAAGAAATGGAAGATTGATAAGTCGAACTTCTTGCGCATTGTCTCAAATGCGCGAGATTCTCGAGTTTACATTTATGATCACGTTTTGCGGACAGAAACGACTGCTGGTGAACAATGTCCTTCTTCGCATTGTGTCGTCGTCGAAAAAAAAAATCAAAGAAGTTGATGAAGAAATTTTTGAACAGTTTGCGAAACATTAATGACTAAATAAAAACACTACGAAGAAATGCGCATAATCGGCGCGTTTGGCGAATATAGACTTTTTTTCTATTCAATTGACAAACACCAAAATCTCAAACTTGAGTAGATCTCAATGATCGATTTTTATATGTCAAATAGTAACTAATGTAACTACTAAATTAATAATTAACTTATCAGTTGTTTCCTTTTCTGACCCATCTATTAATTATTATCTTGTAGGTAAATTTACCTTCCCTGATGATGATCTAAAGATCGAAACGTCGGATAAAAACATTAAAATAGTGTACAAGACTCACAAATTGAATGGGTCCTATCAAGAAGATCTCTTCTACCTAACAATAAACCCTAATATTGTTATTGTATTATATACGCTACGGAATATACCTTCGAATACACTGTAGTGCGTTATTCCTATTACATATGGTGAACGTCATTAGAAATATGACAATGATAAGATGCATCAATCATAAACTACATTGTGAGGTGAATTATTAAACAACAACATAGTTAAGCAAACACGGTGTATCTATATATATATTACAATATAAATCAAAAAACAGTATTTAATGGATTGATTTTTTCTAAATACAATCTCAGTACATCTTGTTTAAAATACAAGTGCAGGAACTCCGTATGAAATTTAATAATTAACTTAAATTTACTGTTGTAGATACAGCAAATAAAATTAAGTTTGCCTTCACTCAGAATTCGATTGAAATTTTGTTTCTATTTGAATTCAGTTAATCTATCAATAATTCGAATACAAGCAAATAAGAAATATGCAAAAATTTCCACGTTTTAACTTCTTAGTATTCTCAACGATTTTTTTTTGCAGTTTTATTTCCGCCGCAATGTTTTTGATAATATGATAGAAAAACACTTTTTTTTCAAATTCGGTCCATATAGTAAAATCTCAAGTTATTTCAGTCATTTGATAAATGGCTACAATTTTTATCTAATTTTTTGTGGCGTAATCATTTTGAATCTAGCTTTGTAAATTACGACCGCGAACACAGAGTCAACAAAATCATATTTTACAATTCATTGATTCATTTTTTATTTGAAACAAAATTGGAAAAATTTAATTATTTATACGCATTCAAATATACACATAAAACCTGATTTGTAATTTATTTTCTGTTGATCTTCAAGTTTCCATAGATCTTATGACATGCGACATATGGCTGGGTATTCTTAAGCATCTGATTGAATGGAAGCGACCAATAGACTTCACCAGGTAATTGTTGATCCTGAAAAGTAATAATGTGCAAGTACAATTCTGTAAAAAAAAAACCAATTACCTTAAAGAAACTGTATTTTGTTCTTCTGTAAACGTCTTCAATCTTTAATTGGGTCTGCATTTGCTTGCTAACATCAGTATCGAAAATATAAACAGTGGCGAAAATTCCCATTGCTTTGACTGCATTAGCATCCTGAAGTATTTAAGTTTTATCCTTTTTTTCAATCATTGTGGCACAAACATCAGCTTGAATCAATTGAAGGAAGGAATCCTTGGTAAGACCCTGCGAGGTAATGATATCTTCTATATTTGGAAGACAGAAAGCAAGTTTGAGATTTTCGTACTTTCCTTTTTTTAAACCATCCTAAAACATAAATAATAAATAACTGTCATTTTCTCATTTCTTACAGCGCAGTTGATCGGAGTACCATCAAGCAAAAGTTGTGCCTGAACTCCAAGTTTGTCACCAAACGTGCGGCAAGCATTACAATAAAGGCTAAAATGCAAAATCATAAATTATGCAAAATCATTTTAAAAGACTCACCATGATCCAAATCCACCACATCCGTCTTCTTTCTGGCGAACACATCTTTCCGGAACTGCATTCTTTTTGGCGCTGTTTTTGAGCTCAAGGAAAATCGAAAAGTCTCCTCCAAAATCCTAAAGAATCAAAATGTTATCAAATTTAAAGTGCAAAATGTTGTACCTCAAGAACATTGACTTGCCCACCAATAGTGAAACAGTTTGGTTTTCCTTCTTGTTTCTCATGTTTTGGTCCCTTGCGATCATTTCCAGCTTCAAATTCAAGCTTCTTATTCCACTTTCCATCTATAATAATTTTTTAATGTGAATTAAGGTGATTAGAGAAACTTTACTTTTGCATGGCTGATGCTTAATAAGCTCAAGAGTGGCGCTCAAATCATTAGCAATATTCACATCTTCAGCTGGAATCGCTTCAAAAAAACACGCCACCAAAAGAATTAATTTTAGCATGGTTTCACAAAAGACGAAACTGAAACAGCTCTAACGTCAGAATGAGATGGTCTGTCCTTTATAGTCTAGATTTTAGAATGATGGTTTACAGTTGTTGTACAAATAGTGTAATAAAGAAATGAAAAGCAGTTGGTTGCGCAAAATACAAGCTTCTTGTAGAAACCACATCACTATTTTTATTGCTTCAACGTGTTGTTTTCTTTTGTTAAACAGGGAAGGTCATTCAACAAAAAATCGTTTTCAACCAAAATTATTTATTTCAAACGTTTTGCTACCAACCCGCATTATACAAAATAATGGATTATAAAATTAACGTTTTGCTTGGGAGTCACTTAAAGTAATTGTTCCGTAGAGTTTGTGACATCCAACGAAAACCGATTGCTTCTTGATGATTTGGTTAAATGGAAGATTCCAGTAGGTTTGCGAATCCACTTGCTCATCAGGAGAAATGGAGCGAAGTTCACGAATTCGATATTCAAGTTTTCTTTGAGAACTGAAGGAACATTATTAATTTTAAATATCAATTGTTTATCATACACAAGGAGTGGACGAATATCCTTGTCGAATAAGTAGACAGTGACAAAGAGACTAAGCTTTGGTGGACCATTTCCTTCCTAAGAAAACGATATTATTTCTTGAAAAAAGTTTTTTTTTTTTCGAAAAAAAAGTTTTCAATTTTTTCTTCGTTATTCCAGTAAAAAATTTTACCTGCGTAGTTGCTGCTAGGATATGATCCAGAGCATCTTCAGATATTCCCTGCCATTCGAGAAGTGCTGCCAACTTTGGCAAACAGAACCGTAGTTCAACATTGTCATATTCACCTTTCTGAAGAAAAAAACATTTAAGACTTCGATTTCGTCATTCTTCACACTCTTGTCGTACTTTCAATGGTTCGCATCCAGCTGGTTTTCCATTAACGACAAGCTGAGCTCCGAGAATCTTGGTCAATGAGTCAAGTGAATCACATGGTCGACAGTACAAGCTGAAATTCACCAATTTCGATGTTTGATTCTTAAAGGCATGGGAAAACTCAAATCATTTTACACTAGTAAATTGTTTAGAAAAAATAGTCTGAATTGTCAAGTTTGTCAAGTTTTATGAACATCGGTTTTCTTTTTAACAGCTTAATCAAGTCGTTCGTATTGAGAAAATTCCGGTCTATTCAAACTTCCAGTTGCTTACACTTTCAGCATTTTCCTCTCACTACCTATAAACTGTGGTTTCTTCACTAATGCTGTCTGTCACTGTTATATGATGCTTTAGATGGTAATGAACAATCCAAAAATATCCGGAAACTCGATAACAATAACCTTTGTGTGGTAAAAAGCACGTGATTGAAATTTAGTTCATTTTCCGCATTATTAATATTTTATCACCTGTGAATGATTTCTCAAACATTGCATGCATCTACACTGCACTTATGTGAAGTGTGTCGACACAGGCATTTTTGCCAAACATGACGTATTCTTAAAACAAGAATAGAATGACGTTAGAATTATACACACTTTGAAGGAACCCAGTTATAAGATGTGAGTATAATTGTTACATAATCGGAAATCAAATTTAAGGAAAATAAAATTTTAATCGATAACGATTGCAAAAACAAATTCAATTTGATTTAATGATTTGTTATCTATTAAACAAAAATAAAATATGATCAGTTGAGAAATGTTCTAAAACAATTGTATATTCATATTATTTTTAATTACCATAACCTAATTTTTCTTAAAACGGTTTTCAGAATTGTGATTTAACGATCTTCAGAAATTGTTTCTTGTCTACGTGAATTTACCTGGTTGCGTGTCACTCTGTATAATCTCTATCTAATAATTCCGGCCCATAAATGACAAATTAGTTATCTAATGATTTATTCGATTTATATTCCCCCCAACAATTGTTTAGAAGCCAGTTTTCTAGAAAAAAACTTGCAAACATCAATTCCTTGTTCTCCCATTCGAGTACTACTTGGTTGAAATAAATTTTGGTGTTTTTTCTTCGTCTGATCAAAAATCTATCAAAGATTCCTTGAGCGATACATAAACCTGTTCAAAGGCTTCCACAAGATAATGTTCTATGTATTACCATGATCCAACACCTCCACATCCAGTTTCTGGATTCGCGTCGCGGCACACTTCTGGTGGTTTTTGAGTGTCTCCTGTCGTCGATACTGACAAATAAATGAGCAGCTCATCGCTGATATCCTCATGGATTTTGACCTTTCCCTAAAAAAATTAATTGCACTCTATTTTGAAAATATGGTATTAACACTAATCGCGTAGCATCCTTTTTGCTCAGTCGATCTCAAAAGAGCTCCATTGTCTGAATGACCACCTTGAAACTCGATTTTTCGGTTCCAGTGCGAACCTTCAAGAAATCAAAAGTTCAAAAAAATGTTGAAAATTGTTCGGCTAACTTTTCCTCCATGCACAACTTTGATGTCTGTGCAGGTTCAAGTTGAGGTATTGGGTTGAAACAAAACTGAGGGAAGATATAAAAACGAGAAGTAGCATTACCTGAAATAGAACATAAGATAATAACAACAACAGCGCTAAATTATATAAACGACTGTGGTTGGAATGATTTGCGATCCGAGGAAAACTAAACCCGTTACAGTCGTCTTATCAACAGATGCAGACATACGGCAATTTTTGTAGGGAAATTGGCGAAAAGTACAACTGATTTGTTTCCTTTTATATTGGCAACCAAATGAAAGCACGCAAATCCCAATCATTTTACGGATGAATTGCGTACGGTGACTTATGAGAACAAGAAAAGCGCGCGTTGGGTTTGAGTGAGTATGAATAGAAGGCAGATTCTTTTATGCGGTTTCGGTCTGGTTCGTACTCCTATTTCGCTAGCGCCATTAATCCGAAATTCAAGTGGTAGGATTTATTCATTTTCTAAACACTGTGCTACACTTGAAAATCGAAAGTGATTTTGGTTTTAAAAAATATTTGTATGGCGTTTTGATTTTTACTAGAAAATGAAAGCGTCAGAATACAACAAAAAAAACACGAAAAGAATCAGGTGACAACTTAGTGAGGTGGGAGACATTTGACAATCATAATAGATGAATACGATTGAATCATTAAGATAGACGCCTGCAAGACGACGCTGTACGGCGAACAAGACAAAAGACTGCGTATTTTTATCAATACATAATAAAAACGAGAAATTGAACAAGCATTGTGGAATTCCAGAATCCAACATGAATATGATTGAATACAGTTGTTTTTAAGGTTAGTAGGGAAACATTTGTACTAGGGCTGGGCAAAAAATAAACATCGAAGACATCTTTTGGATCAGAACCAATTAAAAATTATTTCAATCATTTTTTTTTTTCAATATTTAATTTTCTAGTTTTGTTGACAATTGTAGACGATAATATGAAAACAGCTTTTTACACCATATTTCTTTTTTTTACATTTTGTTTTGTTTCAAACACAAAGTTCTGATAAATGTTGAACCGAAAACACAATTTTAACAACAAACTGAAAATTTGTGACACAATCGAAATTTTAACATGATCTTGAACAGATTGTTTGTTACATCCTTGAAGGGCCACAGATTCTATTCGTATCAAAGTCACATTTCATAAAAAAAGACTGCCTTTTTGACTAAAATCTTTCCTAACAAGTTTTCAAAGCAATTAATTTATTTAATGTTGATTGTTATTAGGGGATATTATAGTTTTTATAATTATTATTGTAATAATTATCATATTATATGTATGAATATTAATCATAAACATGCTGCATTTATTTATATTATTGTGCTCTCATTAAAATTTGTCGATTTATGCAATCATCGTCGACGTCCCCAAAGACGAGAACTCAGTGCCAATTTTGGTCGGATTCCGCTTTTTGCGACTCTTTCCATCACATCGGTGTCAACATCGGGTGCCAAAAATCTATAATTATCGTCGTCCAACACCTGGAATTTACTTTGTTATATATATATAGCGACTTTCAGTATTACTCGAACAGTTGGTAAGTCAACCCAATAATCGAATGGTTGTGAGATGTGATGATTTGATTGAGCTGGAGCTCGCAATTCCTGGAATAAAAATCGAATTTATTTCTTTTAATCGATTTTATTTCTTTTTGCATGCGTTTCGCTGATTCACTAAATTTGCACCTGCTATTATATTATAATCACGAGTAAATATAATATAAGAATTTTCACCTGCGCGAAACAATTTTAGCACTAATTGTCTGGACCTGGAGCCATTAATAAAATTTCTCCAAATGCCTAAATTGTACGACGTTTGTGCAACGTATTGAAATTTCGATTGAAAAAACGGAATATGATCAATTGAAAAAGAAAATGTGTCTGCGAAATAGATTTGATGAATTTGTAAAAAATTTGCCTGGAAAACGCTGTTTGCGTCTGAATTCAGAACCTTTTTATAATTGTTTGTAAGGCTAACATGAATTAAAATAAATTCGATTATAGTTTAGTCATATTGTTCTAATCGGTACTACGCCATTATGATTACCTCAGGTGGGCTTTCTCGTTTTCCCAAAATGATGCTGCCTCGTCTAATTTCTCCGCGCATCTTTTTGAAATCCTAAGCTTGTTCTTATAGTGATGAATTTGTTTGAGCCGACTTACCGGATAGCTAGAAACTGAACCGGCGACAACCATAATAAGAATGATAATGGAGTAGCTGTGCATTCTGGAAGTCGTTTGTGCCACAAGAATGAAGCGATGAATGCAAGTTCCACAAGGATCAGAAATTTCACCTGTAATAGGTGGAGTTTCAACCCAAATTACATGACAAATCGTATATGTAATAAAACGAGATATACTTGACACTACTATACTTGACACGAAAAGTCATAGAATGTCAATAAAACAACAGATTGATGTTGGAGAATTATTTGAATATATAATTAGGAGTTTTCTTTTGAACTTAACACTCTCGTAAATAATGAAGATGTGTATCAGTCAAAAAACGTTCAAAACCAAATCAAATCTGATCAATTTCAAGAAATCGAAAAAAAATGAAAGAAGTTGAACAAAACTCTATATTTGAAACTATCAAAGTTCATTAAGACATAATTCTTTTCAAAGCGGAATGCAGAAAATTTTTCTATTGCCAGCTTTTATTTTGTTGTTCTTCACTATTTTACATAAAGATAAAAATGAGAAAAAATAAATAAAAAAGTTGACTCAAACGGTGAGCTTCTCTTGAGAAATTATTGATAAAGTTATGTGATTTTTGAGAGCTCAAGAACGCTTTTATTGAAGAAACGTATGGTTTTGTTTACATTTTCGTGTCGTGATGTCAAACGTAATAAATTCAATTAATCTTTCCGAGAAATTATCGTAGTTCTGCAACTTAAATTTATAAATATCCAGGTGAATAGCGAAACGTTTCATTCAGAAATAAAAAATGACGTTTCCTTTTTAATGTATATCAGACGCCAATCCAAAAATATAAATGCAAATATATTATAAAATTGAATTGAATGCATAATATTTTTGATCAAATCTGAATGAAGAAACCAATTGGCATTAATTAGGGATGGATAATTAGGATGTTAAAATCCACAAGATCCTCAAAAATATGATTGTGAATCGTGATGCGGGAGTGAACGTAACCTGATTCAATAATAATGTTTCTCATTTTTGTAAACGGAATTGCAAAATTGAAAACTAAATTGATATCTGGAATTGGTGCACTAATAATTGGTTAAATTTAATATTTGTTGTCAACCAATTTACAAATAGGATTAAAAGAACTACATTGAAAACACAATATCTAATACACATGTTTATACAGACATTATTTATTTGTCGTAAATCATAATTAGTTATTAATCGTATTGTCTTCGAAAAACAAGAATATACAAAAAGCAAATGCAATGCAACGCAAATAGCTCAAATTTAAGTAATAATGTAAATTTATGTATTTTTCGGTTTGAAGAGATGTACAGGAAAAATATTACTTATGCATAGACGAACACCTAGATAATCCTCTTTGAAGATCTGAATGCTAATTTGAAAATCGGTGACACTTTTACCGACTAAAGTCGTTGAGTGCATTGTCTGTGCATGTAATTAAAAGAGTTTTCAGACTGCTCAAATCGATTCCTTATATGCCATTAGCAGAAAAAGAACCAGTTTTAACTCGAAAAGAAATGATTGAACAATTTCAATGATGAATTTTCTTTAATACTTTCAAAAACTGCCACAATCTTACTGCTAATTTAACCCTAAACAGGAGTGTTTTTGCGGAAAAATTTTCGCAGTTTGTTTACTAGCAAATGTTCATCTTTAATGAAAATGTGGCGAAAAAAAGATTACTGTAAACAAATATGTATATTGACGAAATAAAAAATTATATATTTTCTCTTGTCTAAATATGAGCTCGAAACTACAAAAAAGCTAATGCAGTACAGTACTACATCGTTTCTGACAGCTTTATTATTTCAAATCTATTTTTTTCACAACATCTAACAAGAATGCTTAGGCTCTATTCACTTTAATTAGAATGATAGAATGAAAAAATGTTAATTTTGTTGCCACGGCATAGCAATGTCTTGTCTTCAAAGTTGACAATGCTTCCGATTCTGGTTCAGTGATTTCTTATGGCACAAACTACGGACCATGAAAAAAACTATGTTTAAATGGACCCACTTTTATTGAATGTCGTCATGTAAGAAGAAATTTGGAAAACACGCCACGTTCTAATTAATTTATGGAAATGAATTCAGAGTTGAAAGTTGCGACTGACTAAAAATACAAGTGACCTAACATCATAGAGAACTATAAATTTTCAAGTTTCAGAGCGGCTATCGTATATAATGTAAAATACCGTCATAAATTCCGACAATCGTAATTATGTAAATGCAAACAGTTTTAGTTGTTGCCGGTAAAGCTGATGATAAAAAGATCGGCCTGAACGTGAATATTCAGTTTCACGTCTGTAATCTATACTCAACTTTTACTTATTAATTTGATGTGTTTTAAAAGTAGATAATCATTTGAAGACCCGTCACAGACATATATTAGAGGGTGCCGTTTTAATCATTTTAATGTTCTATTCAAATTGGTCAATGAATTAAAATTATCGTAGTGAAATGCGTGCAGTTAACATATCTCAAATTTTATCCAAAGAATGTTTTACAGTTTCCTAAAGTTAGGCTAGAGTGATACGACCACAAATTGAAAATTGCCTTTAATATGTAACAGGCATTTAAGATGAATTCATAGCGCATGTATGAGGGCAATACATCTAATTCCTTCACAGAAACATTTATCTTCGGAATTGCATGCTTCTTATAATAGTGACAAATAAAAGTTACTGCATTGAATTAAATGAAAAGAACAGTAAAAGAGGAAATTAAAGGAATGAATGAATGAATAAATAAGCTGTTTTTTAATGTGGGGATATCAACTGCATTGGGATTCATCATATATTGTTTTTTTTTCTGGATTAAATAAAGCTTTCATGAAGCAAATTCTAAAAGGAATTGTTGTCAGAATGAAAAAAAAACAATTCTCTCTTTATATTGTTGAAAATCTTAAATTTGTAAAAATAAGAAAAAAATATCTAAAACCATTGATATTTTCGCATTTCTAAATGCTAATTTAATCGTTACTATACAATTATTTTATTATCTATTATTAAATTTTTACGTATCTTCCAAAAATAAAAGTGCGAAGATTGATTACGAGCAGAGTTGCGCGAAATTTGTGGTGATTAGAAAAATTAGAAGGAAGAATTTGGAAAGCTGAAAACATGAAATAAAAAAAACTGAAAATATAATTTTTATTTGGCGAAACATACTTATTTTTAGTCTCCAGAATGCGGAATTTAGGCCCATTATGACTGTTTATTACGGTTTTCTGATTATCAATAAAAAAGCAATAAAATTTACCTACAGAAATTAAAAAAAATCTTTTTTTCCAAAAAATATTCAAACAACACCATTTTAAATGTATTATAAAGTTTGGCCCGCTGGACCAGGTAACTCTGCTTCATCAGTTTATATGGCTTTGCCTGAGCTTGAATAAATAGAAAAAAATAGCACATTTTTGACCCCTAAATAAACATATCTGCAAGTTTCATATTCAACATAAGTGAAAAATATTATTTGTGAGAAAAGAGATGTTGCTTTTTTATATATAAGAAGCAAAGATAATATAAGAAGCGCCAATTTCAATTTTTAAATTCCTACATATGCTCAATACTTTCAAAAAAAACTATTGGGAAAGTTGGAAACATTGATATATAAAATTTCATAAAATAGCGTTTTTTTTGTCAGTTTTCCTACATTTTCTACTCTTCACACTGTCTACAATTGTAACAAATGGTCATTTGGTCATTTGTTTGATAGTCCGATCACTTATTTATTTTACGACGATTATCCAGATACCACCTTCAAAAGAGAAATAGGTTACACAGGTTTTGAAAAATCTTAAATTTTTGTCATGTTATTATTATTATTAATGATGGATGTTATTAATTGAGGGGTTATTATAATGTAATTAAATGAGGGTTATTAAAAATTTATTGAATATAATTATATGAAATTTTGATATACATTCGTTAGCAATAGTTTGAGCAGATTCGTATATTTATCCTATCGGTACTCATACTCCTTGTTTTAATTATTACTCATTACTTAAAATTGACATAATTTTGGTCGTTAACATTATATCTTCTTTTTTATCCAGAGAAAATTGATTATATAAATATAAATAACTAGTGAAAGTCAGTTATTGAGAGAAAAAAACATAATCGCAAAAAATAAAAATGCTAATAATTAAAACTTTCTGTATTTAATTTTATCCTCATCGTATCTGGATTTTTATACATATTTAATTGCAAGTTTCCAGCAACTAGTTCTTTCTCAATTTTGTGAAAAACAATTCGATATCCACATGAAAAAATATAAATTCTTCCACGGATAGTATTAAATATGACATTTTCTTATCACGTAAGTAAAATAGCAAAAAAAAAGTGATTGTGTATGTTGTTTTGAAGTACCAATTACTCTCTGGTTTTAAATCCATTTGCTTTCATTTGTTTTATTTCAGGAGTTCCAGTTTCTTTTGCGGACGTCGGAAAACGTAAAATTCAATTATGGTGACCCTCACCAATGAAACTAAGAAAACATCAAAGAATTTCCATAATTAGTATAATTCCAAAAACTTCCTTTTATGTCATGTGGATGAGGCTTGAGTCAAATCATTTTCTTTTCGTCGATCCCTAAATAGTCAAATCATTTTCTTCTTGTCGGTCCCTAAATATAAGGTATATTGCTAAAATTAATTTTTATCATTTCTTTACGTCAAAGGGGATTAAATAAAGCTGTCTAATGAGAAATGTTCCAATGCAACCCACGTAAAGTTCGAATCCCTTTCAACCCAGAAAAAAAAGCTTCAAGGGAACCGACAATACATATGTCATTTTTGGGACTAGTTTGAAGCTTAGAATTGATGTACTGCACCAACGCCAAACTCATTTGGCGGTCTGCAAAGCCGGTACCATTTTTAAATTGACGAAGTGCAAGATTTATAGTTAGCTCAACTGTGATCCTTTATGCAACTCGGTGCAAATAGAAAAAATTCAGTCGGTATAAGTAATCTTAGAGTTGTCCTTTTCCAATTTGCCAGAATCTGAAAATGGAAAAAGACACATTTATTATGTGATAAAATAGCACGGGATTTTCAAAGAAGTAATTCAATTGTGATCATTTGCTCGGGCAAAAAAACAATTTTCCCAAAATTTATAAATAATGAGCCCTGCAAAAACGGAATGCCAATAAATACTAGAAAATCGCTGAATACTCCATTAATATCGAGCTCATTGGTCAAAACAATACATTATTGTGGAAAAAAAATGTAATTCAGTTGGAACGCGACAGCACCTCTGCTCATTTTTAATTTTTCTCGATTAACGACATTTTGCGAAGATTATTTCACATTTGACAAATGACGGTTTCTTCATTTGACACATTGACGTTGCAAATACTCAATTTGCAACTGTTGAAATAAATGAACGCATATCAATTCGAAAATATTTTATGTATTAGATTTTTTCATTGTTTTTACCATGCTGTCTTTGTGAGGATTAGTGACTAAATGATGAACAAAAGTACAATTAGGAGATGCTTAATACGATGGAAAAAAAATACATAATTTAATTACGAAAATATCGAGGATAATTTTTTCTGTGAGAATACCAATCAAAGAAGAATATTTCCGTTTTTTAGTACACAGTAGTACGACGACTGCAAGCTAAATTAATTTTTAATATTTTTGATCCCGCTAGTTTCAATTTTCTGAATTATTGTTTTTTGAAACGTATTTCCGTGTGGCAATTTGATTATAAATATAATGTAATTTTTTTGACAGAATTTATGCGGAACGAATACGGTTCCTTATTCTTAATAAATGAAACGTATTCAGAGAAAAATTTACATTCCATTCAAACGAGAGTATTTTTGTTCGAAAATGGTACAAAGGGAATTTGTTAATCTTCATGAACTCATTCATAGCGTCTGATGCGATATTATGTTTTGCGATGCTTGAACAAACAAACCAGCCAGCAGACACTTAAAACATTTTCTCACTTCCTTTAAAATTGAATTATTTCAAGTTTTCTACTTCCTGATGAAACCGTGATTTTCACTATTTTTGTATCAATTCCGTTTTAAACTTTTGTTAACATAAAATGAAAATCATTTTTAGACGGTCACAATTGAATCTAATAGGAGATTCTAAATGTTCTGAATTTTTTTACGTTTTTACAAGCTGCGAAGTAGAAAAATTAATATCTTGCGATTTATGTTTTGCGTCCAAGAGCCATACGCAATTTATTAATAGGATTTAATCATAATCCCATTCTATACTATATTTAAAATTGTTAAGTATTGCCATTTCCAATTGCTTGTTATTGTATTTGTTTGGTGAAAGAATAGGTATAAATTATTTATTGAAAGGTTCCAAAAACCCTTCAAAATGAGCTATTCGGTTCGAAATCTCGCAATTTTTTGTACGAATTCCTTGTTTTGTGAGCAAAAACACATCTTTGCATGTACGCCACCATAAATTAACACATTTGCGCCAAAAAATGTTTCAGTAAAGCCACGAATCCAACAAAAAAAAGATTCAAAGCTCACGTGGTTCCTGGAGCAATAAATGAGAATTTCCTACGATTCGACATATTGCTTTTTTTGAACAAAATTTGAATATTATTTTTGAGACATAATTATATATATATATTTATTTATTTATATTGTGTATACAATTTTGATTACTATTTTTCGTAAATGCTGAATTGAATAATATTAACATGATTTTAAGAACATTTGTTAAAGAGATTTCTTAAATCATTCCTTACAATGACTCAGATGTAGAGTACTTAATAGAAATTATGTGTCTATACTAAGAACTAAACATTTCCAAAAATTAAAGTGTCTGAAAATGTGCAGAAAATTGCAACTTCCATACCTTCTAGAAAAATCCATTTATAAAGAGTTCAAAACTGTCCAAGCTCGCTGACAATTGAATACTAAAATGGCAAAAAAACGAGCTCCCTGCACCGATTTTTTTTTGAGTTTTATTCGCAGATTATCCGTAGTACAGTAGCTTCTACAAATAAAAACGAGATATGGAGATTTGAATAATTGCTTCAAAAACAATTTCTCCCAGTTTCGATTAAAATGGGATTTTCTATCACTTCAAAAATTGGAAATATAAGATATTTTTATAAGCCTTGACCATTTAAATTTTCGATTCTATGTGTTCCTGAGAATTTTCTTGGTTTTTCTGAGAATTTTCTTGGCTCTCTGGTGGGACTCATTTATCTAAAATCTCAATTAACTACGGTGGGGGGTAAAGCATATTTTGGTTTCTTTCCTTGTCTAGCATCTTGATAGATGAACCGGAAAACATGTGGCCTTTTGCATATATCCATTCAGGGTAGGACTGGACTCCATTCGTTCAATTATATTATTCATTTTGATATAATTGCCTTTGGTTCCCACCAATCGTCTCACATATTTCATATCGAAGATTGACCTTTCGCTTTTTCTTCCTCATTTCACAGTAACAAGCTAAATGTTGGTTGCTAGTCCAATGTAATTTAAAAAAAACTGCTAACAGAACTCATTCGTTCATTTTTTTGAGGGTATAAACAAATTCGTCATAATATTCAACTAAAAAAAATCTTTTCTATAATACATAAAACCAGGATAGACCATTAACTTGGGCTTTTTTTTATTATACTGACGATGCTTGAATAATTACACAATTTTTTAATTTTAATGGAAAATGGTTATTCTTCATGGATTTCAAAAATGATAAACTTCGTTTTTCTAATTAACCATAACGTTTTATGGATTTGTATTAGATAGGTTAAGTTTGTGTAGATGAGACAGGCAGTGTCTTATTGCCTATTTTCGAAATCAAAAGTGGGGAATGTTCTTCAAAACACATCTTCCATGTCAGAAATTTTAAATTTTATTTGTTTTTTTTCTTTGATTATTTGGTGATTTAATAAGTTCTTCTGCCATTTTGAATAGCAATAAAGCCATGCGGGGCAACCAGAAATGCATATAATAAAACGAATACGTTCACGGATCATTGAGCGCAAGCCAGATTTGAAAAACAGTTAGTTGTTTTCAATTAATTAACCCTAGAATAAATATCCACAAATAATATCAAGAAATTGGATTTTGTTTCATGTTTAACTTTCATTTCTATTTAAAAAGATGTGTTTCAAGGTATATATTATTCAGCTGACGAATAAAAATAATATTGCTTATGTTTTTTCCATAAAAGATAGTAGATGAATGAGATGAAATGAAATAGAACGAGCATGTTTCAAATGCTTTTTTAAAAAATACTTTATAAGTAGCCTATGTACAATCAAGACATTCATTGATTTTATCTAGATCAATAAGTAATTTTAAGTTAATGTTAGAATGGTTCCAATCCTCGTGGTAAATTAATATGAGTTGTTATTTTTTCAGTTTTTAGTAATATCATTCAAAGATATTTCAAACAATCCAGGAATTACTCATTTTATATGTGTCTCCTACATATTAATAATCTATTCATTAGAGATAATAAAACATCCAGTCTCGTAAAAAAACGTTTTCTGTAATCTCAGAAACGATCGTCGGAATTTTAAATTAATTATATTTTGAAGAACGCGAATGAATGGTGTTTGTTTTGCGAATGAATGTTGGTCTTTGCGTTTTGTTCACTTTTTTTCATTTTTTTAACAGAAGGTCTTCGAATGAAAAAACAAAATATGACGAAATAAAAGTTGAATTGCCTGAAGTCAAACCTAGCGACCCGCTAGAACGGAAAAATTGAAAACAATGCTTAATGTTTTCAAGAAACCAATTTAATTCGTTCTAAACGTCTACTTTTTAAAGTTAAATAATATTATCTTATTATCAAGATTTTATCCATTAATAAAAATAACTAACTCCACCTGAAATGGATCATATTTCAATACTTTTTCCAGTGTTTTCTCCCTTTTAGCTTGGATGAGCGATCGTCATATGTCTTGGGATTTGTTTCTTTATTTTTGTTTTGATTGGGAAACTTATATTACGAGCCGCAATAAAACCAAATTGAAAATTACATTTTTCCTTTTCTGGGAGATGCTCCTTTTTTTCTTGATTTGCGTAATATTTTACACATTTTGCGTTCTGTGAGCTTCAAACTTGCTTGTTTTAAGAGATCCGTGTTTGGCTAAATTAATATATATTTTTTTAATTAGAATAAAAAATGGAAAGGTTAATATTGTTTGTGCTAAGAAATGGAATGAATATCATCGACTATTACCTTTGACAAAGTTTTATTTTAATTTAATTTTTAGTTTTAATTGATCTGTCATTTTGCTTTGTGATTTTTTATAGTTTAGGAATTTCGCTCTAAACATTAATAAAACAATTTTTTGATAAATTGTGTCAGAATATCAGTAGTTTTGGGGTCGATATTAGTCAGAAACCAATAAATTACTAACTTAAAACGATAACATGTTCAAAACAAATTTTTCAACTTGGAAATTTTGTTTTCAACTTGTTTGATTCATGTATTAAACCTAAAAACGTGATATCTTAAATTTGACATCAACAAATATTTTCAAATCAAGTGTTTAAAAACACATTTAGTCAATTAATTTTTCAGTTTGTGGTAGCATTCTAAGAGTATAAAATTCTTTTTGAAACATTTTGACGCAGCCGTTCCCTTTTTCAATTCCTTTTCAAAATTGTTACTTTTCCTCTTTTACCCAATTACAATTTTAAAAAATAGCTCATAAATTGCTTGCATATTAACAAGGATTCGACATGTTGCAATAGCAAAGATATGCACACAATGTTAGTAAATATACCTATTTATGATTATAAATTATTCCAAAAATTGTCATAACATATATTTCAACGTTATTTTTCTAAAAATATTAGGTTGTCATATTTCACTTGGTTGGCAGAAGCAAACATTTTTCGACTTATTTAATCTCTCATTCTGTCGGAGCTCTTTCACTTTTTCGCGTGCTTCCTTCCCATTCTTGTATCCTGAAACGAACGTCCAGACATATTATTCTTCAGCTATCGTATACCTTGACTTCTCAAATGTAGACAATATTAATCTGTACATTTCAATTTGATTAATGCGCCTTATTAGTAGGTTTAGAATATTATATATTTACTGTAACATATTGATAATTTATGAGTTCCCACCAAGATTTGAGATTCATTAAACATTCGATTCGTCGTGATTCGCCACGATGTAATCTCTATGATTTCATATTTGTCTCGGCGTATTTAATTTTTTATTGTAAGTTCTACTTGATTAATCCCGCGCATCAAGTTGATGACGTCTTGGAATGTCATCGATCAGATGAAAAGAAAGTGCCATCAACTTTTTCGTCTATTCCAATTCCATGTCTCCAGTTCAAATGACTCACGTTCAAACACACTTCGTCGTTCGTTTTTTTCTTGCTCGCGTGATTAGTTTACTATAACGCAATTCGAATTGTTTCCACTGATCATATTCAAATATGCAATTCTTGACTAAAGAACCTTCAGCTCAACAAAAAAGTATTCGAGCAATATGATTGCATAGCGTGAATATGGGACTACGTGAGTGTCAGTATCTTCACGAGCCGATCAACGGCTATGCAGGAGCAGCAAACTTGGTAAGCCGATTTTTTTTTCTAGTTTAGAATCCTTGATTATTGTGCGAATTTTTGGGTTTTTTTGCAAAATCGCGTCATTGTCATTAATAATGCATAATGTTCTTCAAAGAATGGGAAAACAAGTAATGCAATGATTAATTGGATAACGTGTTAGCAGAAACTGAAAAAATATCTAGAAAAATTGGGATTTTGTTTTAATTTTAAAGATATTTGGGTGCATATCAACTTTTCTAGTTGTTAGATTGTAGTTTTCATTATGGAAATATTTTCAAAATGAAATGGATTGATGAGAGTTGAGAGCAAATTGCACTCAATGATTGGCATGTGTTTTATTGATGCTCAATGGACTTATGCGCATTTGCAAATAAAAATACAACCGTTGTTCAGGTGCTGATCGTCCTTCTTCTACCAGCAATTTCGCTTCTCGGTGTCATTTTGAATTTTTTCAACATTTTCATTTTTGCGGAGCAGAAAAATACCGCAGCGAAATACCTAACAGCACTATCTTGCAGTGATGTTGGTACGTTTGTTTTTCATTTTTTCAACATTATCTTCCAAATATTTGCAGGAGTTTGTATGGCAGGAATATTTGTCATTTTTTCGGACTCCCTGCGCGCTTATTCGTTCTTTGTCGATCAATTGTTCGTCTTTATTTTGCCCATGTTTATCCCACTCGGTCTTTTCTTCCAGGTTCCTTCATTTTTTTGTGGTGAAAAAATTGTGAAAGAAAGCCTCAAAGATTCTTTCAAAAGACAAATTGTCCTCTAGTGTATAGTTATTGCATCATTTTCGTTGGATATTGTTGATAATGTTGAAAAAAAGTATAGTAAGAGAACGTTTTAGACAAATAGGGAACAACTTAAATTATGAAGTCGAAAATGTTGTGGATCAATCTGAATTTATTTCAGATGCTTTCTGTATACATCACCGTGTTAGCGGCATTTGATTGTTTCTATTCCGTTTATAGGTTGGCAAAAAAATCCTTACAAAATATATTGAGTTAATTCAGAGGAGAAGATGGTGAATTAAAAAGGAACACATGGGCACCGAGAGTTTTAGCCCTAGTGGTTATATCCGTTGCCGCTTATAATGCAGTTCAATTTGGGGATCTTGAAGCAGTCGAATGTTTGCATCCGGATAATTATACGCTCTATGAGTTGAGCCCTACAGAATTGCGTATAAGTGATGCCTATGTTGTTATTTATAAGTGAGAACAAGCTCATTGAACAAAAATAGAAAAAAATAACGTTAAGGGGATACTTGTATGCACTAACCATGGCAATCCTACCATTTCTTTTACTATCAGTGCTCACAATTTCCATTTTGATAATGCTCCGCAAGAAAGATCAAAACCCTGATGAAAAATCGGGTAAGAAAAAATTCTAAGCTTTATTTGAGAGCAATTCTATTCAATTTGTATCTGTTTGATAATACATTGCAGATTGTGGAGATGATAACAACCCAATTGTACTTTTATTAGTTATTCTACTTTTTCTCTGCTGCAATTTGACATCGCTTATGGTCAACGTATTTGAAATGATGAAATAGTGAGTGTTTCTTGCTTTGAACAATTTAAATAACAGTTATTTTATTCAGCAAAATGTCGTACGAAGCTGAGGCAGTTCTTATCGACATTGGAAACTTCCTTGTTGTGATCAACGCAACCGCCAACTTTTTTGTTTATATGGCTTCGGACCAGGAGTTCCGCATCTCATTTTATCGCCGAATTCGCCGAATGTTCCGATCAAAGCCGAACACGATGTCCGAACAACGTTTGCGGTTCTTTAATGGACACTCAATTGGAAGTAGTCTGTAGCCGCCGAACGCTAATTGAATAATGTGATCAATATTATTGCTTGTCGTGCGCTAACTATGTGTATAACTTCTCAATTTTCCGAGGAATCCGGGTCTCCTTTGGTCTCGATTTGTGTTTTATTTAAATGTTCAAACAAAACTAATATTTTGGGGTATTGAAAATTTATAAAATAATTTTTTATAGTAAGTTGTATTTAGTGAAAAGTTTGGGCATTTTTTAATAACCGTAAAAAGGGTGAAGTAAATATCACAGAACTTGGCATTGTTAAGTTGAAAGAAAAATAAACTATAAACATGAAGTATGATAAAGATATATGATAAATTCAGTAAGATCTCACCGAGCCGAGTCCTGTCCATTGATCGGGAACTACGGGGAAATATGAATCAATTGCTTCAGAGAACCTTGCACAATACATTTCTGGGCTCAAAATAGTGGGTAGATGTGCTCCAGGGATTGCCACAATTTTCACCCATGATTCAAGTTTCTAAAAATATTATAAAATATAAACTGTTTTAAAATATGTCAGTACCTTATCCAAAGTATAAGTACGCATGTAATCGACGATTCCGAGAATCAACTCTCCGTTGTCTTCATCTACTCCTACGAGTAGAGAATAATCCATAATGTACTGAAAGCAAAAGAATTTAATAGTGACAAATTTTAGATGGCTCGCCTGAGAGCTGAGGAAATGACTATCGTTACTAATTGCTTGGTTGAGAGCTGCTTTTGAATGAGGAAGAACATAAAGTTGCTGGTTCCAGAGATCTTTCACAAAGTTTTCATCAAGAAGCACCATTTCGGCAGAACTTTTTCCGGCTGACGCAAACCTGGAAACGAGACTTTCCGACGCTTCAATTTTTACTTATAAAAACCTATTACGAAGAGATCCTTTCAAATCCCAAACTTTGCTGACATTGTGATTATAGAAAAGGTATTCCATAACCAATATGTCCACTTTAAGAGTCGTCGTTTTACTTTTATATCCAATTCGGAAAACTCCGTAAACTTTGCACAATGTTGTAAGCTTATTCTCAGTGGCAGCAGTAGTCAAGTAATCAAAATAGTTTGGAGCGAATTTGACGAATGATTGAATTTCGAATCTTGACATTTGCTTGACAACGAATCGATCATCTTGCGTGCGATAGAAAAATGATCCAGACTTTCCACCCTAAAAAATTGTGTACAAAGTATTCAATAACCAAATAGTACCTGTGGCGTCCAGAATGTACTATTCGAAAGTGATCGAATAAAAGTTTCCTCTCCCTCCGTGATTAAAAACTCTCGTAATTTACGGAACTTTTCAGCATAAAACGCTTTGACGTAATATGAAGCTGTTTCATCTTCAAACTCAACTTCCAAATGTTGGGTTGATGAGATATTCTCTCCATCATTTGCAGAACTGATCGATTCATCAACAGAAACATCATCTCGCACTTTATTGTAGTCAGCCGCCGATAAAGCGTAAGCAATAATGCTGCCTATGTCCGGTTTAAAGTTACCACGGCTGTCCTGAAAATGATATATCAAAATAAGTGTAAACCAATGATAATGTAAAACCTGAATGTCTCTCACTACAACTCCGATCTTGGGCTGAAGCTTTATTGAGAGATGAAGATGTGATGGGAACGGATTTTCGATTCTTTGTAGCGAACTTTCGATTATTTCGTCATTGACTCGCTTTCGAATAATTATACAATTGTCATTCCACAGCATCACCAAACTATACGTCATTTCTCGAATTTTCATAAAAGTATCCGTTGCTTCACGAAACAGTCGATCATTTGACAAAACCAATTCTTCTTCCTCATTTAGCAATCTCTTGGCAAATTCGCGACTTTCTCTTAAAAATTTTCCAAACTCGTCTTATAGCGATTATATACACATCCTACCCAGCTAATCCAATAGTGTTTCGGATCGCGGAAGAAAGTCGGCACACCACAGCCGTCGTTTGAACTTCTTCATCAAGTTCTGCCAACTGTTTGTTCGTGTCCTCACAGATACCCAGGGCAAGATTGGCGATTCTCTTGATATCTTCACCCAGTTCTTTCTTGCTCACTTTCTGCACCTTTACATTACAAATAATCGGTGAGAAGAGGACGCTGTACGGCCGAATCTAAAGAGGAAATGTTAATTTGCTATACGATAAATGTAAAACTTACAGCGTTCACTTTAAAGGTAGTAACAAGGTTCTCCATGGCAAAGAAATAGAGCTTCTCGTGGAAGAAGCAGTGCTCACATTGGTTTTGAGATGAAATTGGGTATGTCGTATCAGTGGTGAAACACGAATTTCCCAAATAGTCCAGAAATTTCGCAAATGATAAGTGCCAAATGTCATGATCAAACATGACCATTTGTGACGAGCAGCTGCATTTTGCGCAGTTCTTCCAAGCCATTATCGACTTCTGCTGTTCACTGTCCAACTCATTTTCAGCATCACTAACAGATTGTGTTGAAATCTCAACACAAACACGGCCATAGACCAGCTTTCGGAAATGATCTTGCATGGGAACTTCACAATTTGACGATGGGCATTCATAATTGCGGTTGAAACAATATCTGAACATTTGCTATTGCGTGGTATTAAATATATATGCACCTACTTTGTAAGAAACTCTCCAACGGTCATATCATGGTCGTTATAGTATTTCATACTAACCACCCATGGTCGGACGCAGAAATAAGGAGCATTCGGTGATTTTGGAGAGAATGATCCAAACAGAACTGCAAGAGTTTGATGAACTCGGGGATCCAACACATCACGGGCGCGAAACTAAAATAACAGGTATAGCTTCAGCAATTCCATTATTATTTACAATTATCTTCTCCTTAACTTCTTTACGCGAATGTTCAATCAAGGCTTTCGTCCTTCGGCGAAAACTGATTCCAGCAAATGTTCTGAACGACTTCAACATGATTGGAAGAGCAGCTCCTCTCTTGTTGACACAAAATCCATGAAGATTGTCTAGCTTTAATGGACGCTGAAAAAATGAGCAATCGATTTGTGCAATTTTTGTATTACCTTAGGAACATAAGGAATTGCTTGTTCTTCGGAGTCTGTTAAGCTAACGTCATCATCGGATAGAAGTTTGTACAAAGGCTGTTTGAAATACGAAATCAGCGGACAAGATCTGAAAAATTTATTTTTATAGAAAGTTGTTTGAAACCAAAAACACTGTTTTATTCAATAATATTCTTTCAAGTTACATTGTACGCTGCTTTTCCTTATTGATTCGTATCGTTCTCAGCCATTTAATTACACTTTTTATTAAGTATAATGAAATATTTATATTACTGAACCCAAACTCGAATTATTATTTACGAATGTGCGTTCTACGATGTTTGATTTACGTTTTTCATAGAAACCCATTAACAATTCCATCTTCTTTTTGCAACATGATATGCGTACCAAACAAACAATTACTAACTTTCCAGGTTTTGTTTCAAGAAACGGAGGCTCGAACTCGATAACTGGGGATGAACTGAGCATCGACATGTCTAAGGCCCTTTCAAATTCTGTCTGAAAATTTCGAAATAGAAGCGGACGTATGCGATTTTTCAACAAAATTACCTTATCTTGAGTTGAATAAATAATTGAGCGCTTCCTCTCGCACACAATACAATCAGATTGGCGTCGAGCAATGGACACATTGAATGCGTTAAGATACGCTTGTTCGAGTCTGTTTGAATACATTACGGTAATCAGAAATATCAGAGTTCGTTTCACAGCAATCATTTCCTTTTCATCTCCACTTCGTATCAAAATCGTGCATCCGGCCTCTTTGCGACAATCTCCGAACTCCTAGATATTTCCATGTTATCAAAAACAATCTTCTTAATGCCAAATTACCATAAGCATTTTGGTTTTTCCGTTCTTTAACGTTACATTCTTTTGTTGGAATTCCGGACAGAATCCAAGATTTTGCTCAATTAATTGTGCATCAGAATTCGAAACAATATCAGCTCCTGTTGATCTGGAAATCCTTTGAAGAGCGCTCAATTTCACATTGACTGCCACTTTAATGCCTTTTCTCTGCATTTGAATTGCAGCCAATCTGGAAACTCCCCCTTCGACAAGTATTAATGATGCTCGTTTTGCCGCAATTCGTTCAATCTATAATTTCAAATATTGATTTAAAAATTCGGTTTGGTCACTATTTGCCTGTTTCTCAAGAAATTTCTCTTCCTGTACAATTATCGGTTCAATGGATGAAAGTTTTCCAGTAATCCTTTCGTATTCAATCGATCCTCCAACAATCATAATCGATTCTTTTGACGGCTCACTGGGCTCCAACAATTCTTGATGAATTAAACTTTTGGTGCAAACAGTTCCCCAAACGATCTCAAAATAAAACATTTCGTTCCAAAGTGGTAATTCAAGTTTACCTCGACATCCGGCTCATTAACATCCACATTAAGTTTTTTTATGTGAACATAATCGGTAATATTCATGCTATCTCCCATTGGAACATTCAAAACGACATGAGCGACCACTTCTCGAGCAGTTTTCAATATAATGTGTCGCCATCTGCAACAGAAATTGTATTTCACAAATAAACCTCGATATCCCACTTTGTTTCCGAAATTGTTTCCCTTTTGAGAACTTCGTCTAACATTCGTTCGGTATTTCTATCAAAAAGCTCCACAAGATTGTCTCTTTGTTCTTCTTTGGCTGCATTCAGCATAGATTCCTCCATTAGCCTGAAATTGTTAACGATTTACAAAGGACCAATTTTGACAACAAACAGTGCCGGAAATGTGATTTTTCTGTCGTTGCACTCGTGGTCTCGCTCATCCGTCATATTGGAAAATCCTGTTGTAATTGCACCAGCAGCAATGTTTGCATAGGAGAACACGTCGACCGAATCGGATGTCTCAAATTTGGTTTTTTGCTCAATTATATACATTGAAATGTCTACCTCATTATTGAGAATTCCATCCATTCCAGGATTCATGCTTCTGAACCAATCTGGTCCAGATTCTTCTTCCTCACTTATCACCGAACTAAGATGAGTAGTATGATTACGAGTGACTGTGGAAGGCCCAGCACAAAGATCTTGAACCGAAAGAATCGTTGGTACTCCGGTTTGAACAAGGGAATTTCTTCGACTTGGAGGTGGTGGAGTTTCTCGTGTTTCAGAGTTTCTTGCAGTTTCCGGTGGACACAATGACCAAATGTTTCCTAGAAAAATCCATTAACAAATAACAAAAACCCGGGAAAAACCATTTGATATAGTTCGAACGGCGTCTGGATTCGTAGATTGGCTATTCGCCTGTTCACCACTTATTTTGCGTTGAATTGATGGCTTCTTCGCATTCTCGGCTTCAGAATCCTTTGAGAAACGCTCAACCTTTCTAGCGCAAAAATCACAAAGTCGTAGCTCTCCAAAATATCCCAGAGAGGCACCATCAATACGGTTGTTACAGCACTTTGAGCAGAAAATTTGGCCGCAGAGTCGACAATGATGACGACGACTAAATAGTTTCGTTTTCAAATATTCATATAACTGGAAATATATACCGGAATGTTGTGAACCTCTCCTCACATTGATAACATTCCCTTCCAGTAGAATCAGGCATCCAATATTGTTCTAAATTATTTCATCACATTTTGAATTACATCAGAATCTTACTGAAATTGCTGTCGTTATAATTCTTGAGCTTCAAATTTCCTCCTTTTGCTTTCAATAAACCGGCGAATTTGTCGGTGAGTGAACGCTGGAATACTCCTTCTTCAGAAGATTTCGACTCTATCAAAAATAGTTTTAACAATTAAATAAATTAAAGTTTACCCTGCGATTCCTTTCTTTCTAACTTGTCATTCTTATTCGAGCTTGTTGCTTCAACCTCAGCCGTTTGAGAAACACCATCAGAGCGAAAAATGTGTCCTATAAAACTTGAAAAGTAGCCGCCTGAAAATTAAAAAATTTCAATTTCACTTCATAAAAACGTAAACAGACTTGAATTGACGGCGCTCTCATCTTCTTCAGGAGGTTTATCGATCTGTTCGAAGAAATGGATGTCTCCATTTTCTTCTTCCATATTCTAAACAAATAAAATAATTAAAAAATTTCTGACTAACAAACTGACAGATATGAAAAAAAAAAATGAACCAAAGAAGATTTCAGAAATCATTAGTAAAATGCTTCAGAAAAACACCATAATAGTGTTGCTGTGGAAGAACATGTTTATAATTTACACTTCATAACACCAAACGTTAAAAATCAAACAATATATTTATCTCAACTTTCTCTGGTTAAATGTGAGCAATGGAGCGCACTTGCTCATACCAAAAACGCTCATGGTTTATGTATAGTGCTTTATTTTAATTTTCGATTCAATTTTGGACTTATTCATTAAACAACAAATATTGTAAAAATTACACATTTTTTTCCAGGGAAGTTCTGCAAAAAAAGAAAGAATATTGAATGTAATTTTCACAATTTTCCTAAAAAAAACATTTCTCAAGGTCACCATAGATATTCGTAAAATATTTAAAAATAAACAAACAATTTTTCTTGCAATTTACATTTTATTTAGTCAAGAAGTTTGAAGAATATTCGGTTCGTTTCTCATGAAAACACATAAAAATTCTTTTTATTCTCAAAAAAAAAAACAAACAAAAAACCTCAACGGGTATTCCAATTTCAAATGGTTAGTGTTTGTTTAAATTTTTTTCATAAATTATACAACTACCATTATCAACTATTATTTTTCTTTATCAATTATACATACACATGAGACCTATTCAATTATTCCGCATTTTGGGTGATTATTTAATAATGAAATCATGGAGCGGAGTTCCAATGGCTACTTGACATTCACACGCTGTGACAGTATCAATCGAAACTTGCTTCCAATCATCGTCAACTTTCTTCATGATGTTCAAAGACCGATAAATTGGACGGCATTCCCCAAAACCTAAAAAGAAATTGAAGATGGAGAAAGATCGAGGAGATACCTGATAAACACCCATCATCGTTATGATCGCAATTCACTTCATTCAGGTAGTTTGGGTAATAACCCAATGGAAGTTTTCGCCATTGCCAGCATAAATTACACAATCCACACCAATTGCTATCAGGATCTAATGCATTTCCTCGACGATATTCGCAACCAATATTTGTGACAACTCCGAGAACTTAACTTATATGTGTTCGTGAATTTTTATGCAAAACAAATATAATTTAAAACCAATACAACCTACTAGGTGCGTTTTTCGCCGAGTTAGTCGTATTATTTGGAGCATTCTGCCAATCATTCTTAGCTTTTGCCTTCTTCATCATATTCTAAAAAGGAATTTTTACGCTTTCCAATAAAACGTTAAACAAATACCTCTTTCAGAAAATTTGGCGGTTTGGCATTGTCTCTTTTTTTTCGTTGCCCATTGCTACCACAGGATCCTTCAGATGTTCCTATAGTAGAGAAATAAATTGAAATAGAGGATGGTTTTACATGCCCAAGTGGTCGATCAAGTATTGTTTTTGAATATTAAAAATTTGTCTATCAGCATCACCAAGATCTGGGTTATCTAGAAATCCATTAACGATTGAGAGTTTACAGCTCATGCATGATTTTGTGGAACAAGATGTTTCATCATCTGTACTCATGCCAAATCCTTGAACTGCGATTGATGCATGCGAGATCGCAGGCTGAAAATAATAATTTTTGTTGGTTTTGATTTGTGTTATCACAGACCGATGGTAGTTTACTTTGCGCGAGCATAGGTTCTTCTGGGCTATCCCCCTCATCGTTATCCTCGTGAGCTGATGAAAAAAGTGTATTTTGTTGGGGTGTTGCAAGATTTGGAAACGAAAACATTGCTTCGTCAAGGGTTGCAGCCATGATTTTTGAATCGTACGACAGACAAGGTGTCTCTTGTTGATAGGGAAGCTCCGTTTTCATTTGCTGTCTGCAGCACTGTAAATGTATTTGAACTAAAGTGAAATGAGAGAAAATGAAAACAAACCCACCCACAAAAACTAACACTGAACAATTAAAAAAAAACAATAGAGTTGTTTAAATAATGTTTATAAAAATGTAGATCTTTGAGACTTGAATTTTCATTGGACTTCTCCTGTTTCAATGGTATGAAAAATTTTAATTTTTTTAAATACAAAAGTAAAAGTTGAAAAAAATAATTTAATTTGATGGACGTAAATTGCGAAATGGGATTCACATATTCCCATTATACGATATCCAATCGTTTTTCAATTAATACAGAACGTACTTTGGTTATTACCAGAGCATTTGAATAGCCAACAATAAATAAATATATTATAGTTAATGACGACATTGTGGTACTTTGAGAATCAATTTTCACAGGAAAATAGCAGACCGCAGAAAATAATTTTAGTTGCCGCGCGAATGGTTCGACTTACCTCGCCTCTGTTTAATTTTTACTCCATTCTTAACTTTTGTTTACACCGTCCGAGGTGCCATTGCGCGAGTTTTTTTTTTCTGCGGTAATCCGCGAACTCTTTACTATTTCAAAGAGTGCAAGCATTTATCGAATTTCAACATATTGCAACATGCAAATCAGAAAAAAATCAGCGTTTTGTTATGATTTTTCAATTTGGGTCGGCAACTGCATTCAAACTCCAGGGGAATCGTATGCAGATTGCGGTACATATCATTACTTGGTAATGCGACTTTTATTTCGGGACAGTGTGACATTAGGGATTATTACAGTTTAAATGTATTCTACAACGTTTCCTAGGAAATTATTTTTAGTTTTTTTTTTAAATCAATTCACATGTCACGTTATTAAATTAGCGCCTCAGTTGGCGGAACGCAAAGAGTTCCTCTTGGGCTTGCGCGATCGCGAATCTCATTCTCAAGAAGCGGAATTTTCTTTCTTCTCCACACATTGCGAAGGTAGTGCTGAAGAGTTCTGCGAAAATGCGAGCCAAATGCATAATATATGAGAAAATTGCATGATGAGTTGACGACGACCATCAAATTTGACAGATCTATCAAATAACCATTGATGATGCCAAATAAAAGTTCAAGAAAGTTGACGGTAAGCGGCTGAAACGCAATCAAATGAATAAATGATAGGAATTGAAGATAAACGCACCAAAATATTGCACGTGATGAAGAGGCAAACCACGAGAACAAGAGTGATGATATCCGACTCGCAATTTGAGCTATTTGATTTACGCATGCTCAGAACAATTGCCGAATTGAGGACGATCAAAAACACGACTGGTCCAACAGCCATTACAATGGTGTACATATAGGCGTAGTAGATTTTAAGGTAATCCTACAAAATTTTCCCATTTTACTAAAAAAATTTCCAACTTTCAGCCATCTTTTTAAGTTTTTATTATTAATTACTCGAATGTTGAATTTTCCTATATTTTTTAAGTCCATCAATATTGAACGCTATCTTTTTAGTTCCTGGTTCACGTGTGCGTAAATGTTCATTCATTTTCCCTCATGTACAAGTAATCCAATATAGATTATTTTGGTCTCACTCATCCCTTCACACGACGCCCGTATTTTCACATAATTCTTTCTAAACTAATGTACACCAAATAGGATGCGCTCAAAAAATAATAGGGTCAAAATACAATGGATCCTATCCATGTCGAGTTAGAGTGGCTTACCGGATTAGCTCGTAATGCGGTTGGGCACACGTCTTTTGAAGCGGTGTTATAAACTAAACTCCAACAATCGATTACATAGATTTCAAACATATGTGGCGCATTGTAAAGAAACGCCGTAATGACAATGAGACACAAAATCTGAAAAACGGCAATGTTTTTTTTTTCAAAACAACATGCCAATTGAATCAAACATCTTGTAGTTAAAGAAAACTTACAACTATGGATGTGAACACCGAACAGAATATTGACTTGAACTTCTCTCCAGCCGTGACCAATACAAAACAATCGAATGCAGATGCGACTGTTATGAACACCGACAGGGTTTGGGCTGTGAGTCCAACGGGAAACATAACCGGCGAGAGAACCGCAAAATAGTATGTCGCCCATACAGATCTCTTGCGCATGTTCTCCAAAAAGAACAAGAAAAACGCAGTTAAGATTATAATGATATCCGAACAAGCCAACGAGAACAAATAGCTGAAATCACTGAAAATATTCACTTGCTCCACTTCTTTTACTTTCTTACACATTGAGACTTGAAATCATCTCACGACGTGAGTAGGTGAATGCCGATAAAGCATTTCCAATTAGACCCAAACAACCGACAGTTGGCAAGAGAACGCCAATTACAATCTGTAAATCAAATTAGAATATACAGTAATGCACATGTCTGGAAATGAAATAGAGCACATCAGGTGTGATGACAAATTGAATTCCAGAAAGCCGTCTTCCTCCAAACACGTTTCGTGATGTCACAAATTATGTGCTTGAGAGGCTTTATGCGTTCCGTTTTCAGTTCGGGAGTCCGTCATAAAAAGTTTTTGTTTCGGCGAAAAGGCGATCATTTTTTATAAGGAGGCTTAAATTCGAAGACGCTGGGGATAAACTGTGACAGCTGGTTCAGTTCGTTATTTATTCTATCTGGTTTGAAAAGGCATATTATAAAGCGTGTCAATGATAACAGATAATTAATTAATTGTAAGCCATGTGTTCAGTGGTCCTTTAAAAGATTAGATTGATGTACGATCGATGCTCAAAAACCTTTTCCATTTCACTTCATTTTTGTAGTATTTCATTTTTTGTTTTCTTTCTAATCACTTGTTTTAATGAACTCTATTAAAAACCTTGAATCATTTGTGCCTCGCAAGAGACAGATTTTGTCTCAATTCCCTCAAGATAATTAAAAGAGCAGAATTTTTCATTGCCATGAAAAAAAAGGCTCTGCAGCAGCGGAAAGCGTATTGAAACGATTTTAATGGGAGTAGTGAGTGCATAAATTAAAATTGCAACTTATTATAATACGAGACACGTCTAATTAGGTAAAACTAGGTTTTTCTCCGCTGAGATTTTTCTTGATGAAAAGTGTCGCATTCGGAGTACTCATTATCAATAATCCTCGTGAAAACATGGAACTGAAGTCGCGGCGATTTTTTGTGCGAACCGCAGCAGAGGAAGAAAAAAACCGATTTTCGGCAGCTTTTTGAGGTTTTTTTTTTTCGTGGTTGGCGAGCACAAATCATTAAACAAAAGACTAAATTTTTGCCGAAGTTCTTGTCTATTTTTTCAATTTCCCGTCTACTTCTCGCGAGACACCAAAAAAGAAAACAACGAATGTCGGTATTCAACAGAAGTGTGCACAGAATATAAATTGATCGGCTCGCAAGGTCGAGTTGTGGATTTCTCCACCCTAATTCAAATTGAAATTGTGCCGAGTATAGATGCTCAACCTGTGAGCTCGCAAATTGCACAAATGTCCGATATTTGATCGTCAAACTAGATACAACCAAGAAATTAATTTGAAACTGAGAGATTAGAACAAAAAAATGCAATGCAATACATACAAAGCAAACATGTTGAACATTCTAAAATTTCAAGGAATATTGTGTTGTTTTCTGAATTTCGAGAAAAAGTATGCCCTATTTAGGAACTTGAAATAGCACGATCGATTTTTCATTCTATGGCTCATATTTCCCGAATTGGGAATAAATGACTCTGCAATTATTCATCTTCGGAAATTTTTCCGCATTAATTTTTCAAATTCGAATAACTCAATTTGAATTTCGCCTTTTTCAGTTGGTGATCGTTTCGTAGGCATAATCGGTCATTTCTCAATATTTATCTTTCACTAAAGACTATTATTATTATCTAAGAATAGACCGAGATATGCCTTGGGGCACATGAACCCCTATATAGGTGAAACCGGATCTAGCATTCAAAATCTCATGCGGATTTGTAAATTTTCAATTTTTTTTCCTACATAAATCTGCGGTCGTTATATACGCCTCCGACATTAATTTTATTTTGAAGCCGAACCATTATTATGAATTCCGTCTCCTTTTAAATTTGATGCATCTTGTTTTCTCGATTTTTTAGCTTTGCGCTAGCTTTATTCAGCAAAAATTGATACACAATGGACCTCATTTTTGGAACCTGTCTTTTCATTAAAAAAACCATTATCTGCGATTACAGAATGAAAAACGTCTTACCAGGTTAAATGTCTCATACTCCTTTGAAACCGTCTTGACCTCGGCGAAATCGTAGCAGTAGCCGCAAACAGCGAGATTGTAGCACTGCCCGTTGCGGATAGTATTGTTGTTGCATTCCGCGCTCATGTTTAAGCTCATCATAATGATCCTGAAAGAAGACTACTCAAAAAGGTTAAGCTTACAATGAGCGCATAACATGAGCACTATTGTTTTGAGGTGTACTGCCAAGCAAAGATCTATGAAATTAGCACGATGTTTTCGTTCAATTTAAGTGGTGTTACTAGCACAAAGTACATCATTTTAAAACTATTAAGAAAATTAAAAATAAACGAGAATAAGTTTGAATGACGAGAGGGGAACAGCTAGAAGGAAGTGAGAAATACAGAATGAAATGAATTATAAACATTTTTATCATGGAGAGAAAATGTGCCACCCGGCCTTATTCTGGCGTTGTCCAGACGCACTACTAGAACGTTGAGCTTTGCCCCAGCGATTCGTCGTTTCGCTTTTTCCGCGCCCGTCATGCTCCGCCCAGTGTTCTTGATGCTCATCGTCTTGCTTCCTCGCCACTCTTCAACTTAGCTAAAATGAAGAAGAAAAGAATGAAACGACGCCGGAAATATCAAAGAAGCATGAAAATAACCCGAAACAAAATTTAGGTAACATGTTGTTGAGTCGTGTCGGTGATGGAATAATCAAAATATCGGAATAAATGAAAATCTTGTTTACGCACCCTAAAAAATTAGGAATCCGCAATACAATATTGCTTCCTTTTTTTTTGGAAACACGTGGTCTGAATTTCAGAAATCACGTTTTTCTCCTGGTCATACGGGCTTCTTCGCTGCTTGATTTTGAGACAAAAATCTAATATGGAAACATAAGAAGAATTAATTATGGAAACATAAGAAGAATTAAGGGTGGATGATTATTCATGAAATCTCACGTAACAAATATTCACAGACATTCAACACACATACGAATATTAAGAACGCAAAGACATTTTCCAATTTTTAACCATATGTTGTTATTTCAAATTGAAAAAAAGTCATTTAAAGTCTTTGCATTTAAAAGGGAATCTTCAGATGGCTTGGGAAATTTCAATGTTTTGTTGAAACTCAACTTAACAGTTTTGATTGTTTTGCTTATTTTTTCTTATTATTTTGTGAACTCAACACGTCTTCATAATTTACTCTAACGACATTGTAGAAAACACCCACGTGTTGTGATGTCACGTTAGTAAATTATGGACAGTTACTGAAAGCGTCATGAGTTCGCGATGATGGTGACGTGAAAGAATCTTAATCGAATCAAGAGCATCTTGATTGAAGAATCAGATATAAAATTTGGAAAAAAAGTGTTCGTTCTTTGACGAATGCTACACCGATATTATACCCTATATTTCATATTAATGTGAACTTCGCAATGCAAGAATTGAAAGCATAAATAAGGTTACAAGAACCAATGACAAGCCGAATAATGCAGTTTCTTGTATACGGATAACATTGCACGATCCCTGACTTTTTTCTAATTGTCGTGCAGTCGTTCAGCTTGGAAAATCCATAGACTCAAGTCGGTTAATTTCGAATTCTTAATCTATTTCTAACGCATGACTTTTATGAAAATAGATAGTCGCATACTTGGCTGAACCCATTGACGTATTGTTCTGACAGCGATGTAATTTTCTAGCATCAAAGGACACTCTGAAAAAAAAAACGGAAATAAAACTGAAAAAAGGAAAACTAAATGAATTCAAAAAATGTGAAAAATCGGATTGTTTTAGTTTTAGACTAGTTTGCTTTTCTCGAAGTCTTTTTTATCATATATCTTTTAGAAAATAAAATTCGGAATTGTATTGCTGTAAATCCAGCAGTTCTCTATAGTCGAATAAAAAATTCCATTCTGGAATTACTTTAAAAAATTACAGTTTTAATTATTAAATTAATAAGAATACGAAGTTCTGAACAAAACCAAAAAAAATGATTTCATTATAAGATCTCCAATTTTTAGAAGTTGTTTACACAGCAGCTCGCAGAACGAGCAAGAAATTTGAATCTCTGATTTTCATCAAAGTTTCGGTTTTGTAGAAATTCTGACAAAATCCAATTTGCCCGAATCTGTATTTAATCATAATTCTTGTCTATCATAACCTTCTTCCCATAACATAAAACGATAAGCTTCTTAATATTGAAAACTTCTTCGAAATTTATTAAATAATCATTTTCTTTAGTAGATATAAATATAGATTTAGATATTGAAAAAAAAATGATATACACTGAAAAATAAAACATTAATTAAAATCATATTTGGATCTTTACTATAACTTGTAAAAATTTTTGCTGAAACGTAACGTGATTTTCTGCAAGAAAAACATCAAATTCAATTATAGCGTCTTATATGCTCATGTAATTTTAACTGTCTTTACTCTTTTATAGAACGAGAAGAACTTTCTCTACCGTTAAGTGAACATTGACCTTCTGGAATTACACAATGATGACCTAACAATAGCTAATACGTTTATCGCTGTGCAAAAGACAATATTCAATATTTTTCTGAATTTATCAAAAAAGTCAGTTTTTCGCATTTTTTTAAATTTCGAAGACAATTTTTAAAGCGGGCAAACATTCGTCTTGTAAGTTTCCACACAGCGCAATGAATGAGCAATTTAAGTTTGAGTTAGACAATAGATTTTAATTGCTCATTGTACCATTTCCCTCTTCCACGCAAGGCTTTGTGTAAAGTGTTGGAATAGTTTCCACTTAATAATAAAAATGTCTTGTGAGATATTTTGTATTCAGTTCAATGTTCAGAAGACATATGAGCATTTCGAGATTCAACGTTCATTTCTTTTTGAGATAATTTATTATTCCGCCACATTATACTCATTATTAATTGTAAAAATATGTAATTTTTAAAACTTATCTTGAGCTTAAATTGGCTATCATGTGTTAAAAATGGATGTTTGAGAAACAGAAAAAAAAATAATATTCTTAAACACAATAATTTTTTTAATATTGAAAATTATCTTCAATACTCACCACTATTAATTGAAATTTGTAACCTTTTACTATCCTATAATATACTACAATCTATTAATGAACAGAACAATCTTTATGTAGTTCAACGAAATTTTTCAAAAAATTGATTCTTATTGAATTGACCAATATATTTTTACTTATACGTTAACTTGCCCGGTCACCAAAAATTCATTTTTAATGATTTCTGATGTTATTTATTCAGTCATGCTGCATCATTTTCTAGTAGATATCCTGTCATTTTTTAAATAAAATATTAACGCCGTGTTTGCACATCTAATGATTTGTTTTTTTTCTTTCAAGTCGATATTTAATTCATTGATAAGAAGTGTAGATTGATTGGAAATTGTCTGTTTTTGTCTGTTTTTCATCATTTTTATGTTCTTGAAAATAAATAAGTTTCCCATTTTCTCATTGATAAGATTGATATGGTTTCAAAGACCCGCATTACGCAGTTCTCTTCGACATGGCTTTTGTTCCGGATTTCGTCAAGTTTTCCGTCATTGCTGTGAGGGTCTTCCGTATGTGCACAATTTTCTCCCCGCCAATAACTCTGGAGAACATCTTTCGTGATTGATGGCCTGTTGATTGACTAGAAAACTTGATACGGTAGCCTACATAGGAATCCTTACATCAACGTTCATGTTACGTCCCCAAAGTTCGTGTGGAATCATCATGGTTATATCGTCGCGAACAGAGAGCCTCCTCTCATGCTGGTCTATCCGGAGCAAAGCGATAAGAGAATGGGAGCTTTCTCAGAATATTCCGAGCTTACTTTACGTCATCGCATGCCCTTCCTCCCTCACTGTTCCTACCGGGGAATATATCATTAGTTCTTTAAGAGAGCGACAGTTTAAATACGACTTCTTCCTAGTATCCCACTTCCACTCATCGCACTCAGCAGGGTAATTTCTTTCAAAATTCCATCAATTCTCCAAACTCTTGCAGCGTTCTTCACTTTTAAGGATTTTCCAAAAAAAAAACACTAGATTGTTAAACGGTTATCTGCATTTTCTTTGCCTTCTCTCATGAATTAACCTAACGTTATTACGAAACCATCATTCATAAAATAATTAGATTTATACCTGATTCCAAGCTTGAAAAAAAAACTGTGTCATAATAACATTGGATAAAAAATTAATAATAACAGAAAACATTTTTCCTTAATTTTAAGAAAATACTGATGTTTAAAAGGGGTCAGTTAGACAAAAATACAATGGATAGCTCCACAAGACCTACAAAAAATTATTCCACGTCTCTAGAAAGTTTTTTTTTTGCATGGACGCGAAATTAATCCTGACAATACAAATTAGATAACGGCATTATTAGAAACTTTTAACCACAGGTTCCCCCCTCACTTACCAAGCCCCAGTCACTTCCACTTCCGCCCTATACTATTAACTTATTATTTTTCAGTTTATTTAATTTCGGCGTCATCACGTTTGTTTTTTTTTTTCTTTGTTATTCTTTCCCACGCTGCCTTTCGCTACGTAAATAATATGAAAAATGGAGTGAAATATTTTCACTGTTTTGTGAAAAAATCTTATTAAAACCAACTTACTTACTCTGAATGTCTTGGAGTCCGCTATATCTAGAATTCAATTCTGACGTTCGCAACTGACAATACGTAGAAAATCAAATATCAGGAGCCCCAACGCTCGCCAGAACCAAACTGTCCTCCTTACTTGTTAATGACGTATGCAAGAAAGCCGAAAATGTAAAGTTCATACCAGAAAAAAACCAATGAGAAGAAAAACAAAACTTGTTTTTCATCAGCTTTTTAACTAAATCAGCAAATGTACTCCCACACTCGACCTAAGAGAGACAAGAACTGGAATCTGAAAAGACCTGAGTTGTACCAATAGCTTTCAAACAATTACACATTATATTGAAAGCACTAAATTCAACATTATACTTTTTATGTTGTTCATTGACGATACAACGATTTTTTAAAATATGTGAAGGGAATCGTTAATCGATAGACTTAACAATTCAGGAGTTTCCGAATACCGGATCAGCATCATTACAACAATTAACGATGAAAACCCAACGTCTATCAATAAGTTCTAGAAATTAACAAAAATGGTGTTCCGGTCACTTCCGTTTCCGTCCTAAACTATTACTTCATTATTTTCCAGTTTGTTCAATTTCGGAATCATCACGTTTGTTTTTTGCCTTTTTTTATCTTTTCTCACGTTGGCTCCCGCTACGTAAAAAAATATACAAATTGATTTAAATTTTTTTTTTCATTTTTTATGAATTGCTGTTTTTTGTGTTCACTTGGAAATATCAAATTTTCTTTGTATATTTTTGGCGATAAAACCCATAAAACCAGTAGTTTGCCGAAAGATTAATATTTTCTCAGGGCAATACTTTATGTCTGACACGTTTGGCTGATGAGATTGCTATGGTTTCAAAGACTACATAAAAAACATTTCTGTACCATTTCACTCGGTTCTTGATATTATAACATTTTTTTATACACTTTATTATACATTCTATGTCAACACAATTATTGATCTTAAGAATTTGAATAATGATGGGTATTTGCTATTGAACAGTTTGTGTTTGAAGACGTTGGTTTTCTTCTTTCAATATTTTGATTCCAACTTCGTTTTTTGTTGGTGCTGCATTTCTACACAACACAAGAAGAGCCGCCAAAAATATCAAATGTCTCCATTTTATGTTTTCCTTCAAAAAATCATCGTGCAATTCGAATCCTCTTTGTCCAAATGGCTTTCTTCGTTCAGATTGTCTTTCAAAACTCCTCAGAATTCTATGCCAATTGGTTTGTCAGGAAGTAAAACCGTGAGTATAATGTAGAATTGAGTTTTTTTTTTTACAATTAATGCGATCATGGAACATTCACTCCTTGATTTTTCTCTATTTATTTCAATTCAGTGAACATGAAATAATTCTGCTTTTATCTCAAAACTAAATCTTAACTAGTTGGTAGTTCCCCAGTGATATTTTCAAGTAATTCGATGTAAATGATGGTGATGTTTCCCTCAACAATCAGACGCTGGTTTGTGTTGAACGAGCTTCGGTAGTCATAATTTTTGTGCCAACTGTTACCCAAGATTATCTAAAATCAATTACTTTATATTTCTTAAATTATGACGTTGCTCAGGTTAATTACCTTGAAATGATCGTCATTGAATTGAACTCTTAAAGAAATGACATCTCCTTTGACAAATGGGCATTTTCGAATCTCTTCTTCGCTGTAATCCCCAGAATGGAAGTTGGTGAATTTGAGATTCTGTATACATTTCGATTAAATCGACTTCTAAATTTTTTCTTTTACATGTCCCTCAATGTCGCTCTTAATGATTAAAGGAGCAGCATCGATATTCGTTGAAGTGATGTTTGTTTGAAGAGTAATGGTGAAACTTGATCAAAAAAATTATTGATTGAATAGTGGATGCACTTACTCGCCGGCAACATAAAGGTCCATTCGCAGGGTGTCATAAATATAAAGCGGGTTCAGAGAATACATTGCCCAAACTTTTCCTTTGTTCTCATTGACATCAAATTTTCTTTGAGTTTCTTTCTGAAAAACGAGTTCGACATTAGTACTAACCAATTATTCGAATTAAAAATACTCCGTATCTGAGTCTGAAGACAGGTTTTTCCGAAGTATCGAATCCAGAGGTTCGATGAATCTCTGGTGCGTATGGAACTTCTAAGCTCTTTTCGAAAAGCGCCTTTGCGTTATAAATGCGTTTAAGTTGATTTGCTTCATATTCAATTTTAACCGTGGTTGTAGGAGTTATAGATACGAGAAAAAGAAAAATATACAGGCCAGTGTGCATATTTCTGAAATTTTGATTGTTGGAAATGCGTAGTAGCAAACTATAAAAAGGCAAATTAGTAAACGAGTGGCTTTCCAGAAAGCTCTCATGGGGCACTGTGTTGTGGAAATTGTTAGCTCACCGCTTTTATATTGATATCAAGATGACCCGGCGCAGTTTGGCACAAGTTCTCAATCTCTTTGGTTTGTTCGCTCTCTTCTTATTATAATTGTTTTTATGTTCGCTATTTTCAAAACCTGTGAGTACTTAATTATCAGAAAATGTATCAAATTACGTCAACACTAAAGTTGTTATCATCAAAAATATGTATCAAAACTTGATTGTACATATTGCTCGATAAAGTCATTCGTCGTGGACAGTGATGCTCTCAATACGAGAGTATTAATTCCGGTTCACAGTAGATTCTCATAAAATGCTCATTTTTGCAGAAAATTGGGTCAGAAATTGAAGGAAGGTACCCTTTTCAACGACATTTGTCTTCAATAGTAATTCGTTGATGGGAATTGAGCTAATTTTAATTCTGAAAATTGCAACAGTTGCGGAATAAATGTAGCTCAGTTGAATAGATTTATTGCTAATGTATGGCATGATTTTTTTTTCATAGATCCTTCAAATAAAAAAATGATTATATATGTTAATTGAAAGCTAGCCAACACATTTCGAAACAATTGACTTTATTCCTCATTATCTCTCATTGCATCTCTGCTTACTGAAAAAAACGCAACTGCAGAAACTTACACTTGGGTAGTTGTGCACTCCATTATTCAAATTTTCACTTCCTCTTTTGTTTCTTTGAAATCCACCCCCGCTTTATATATTTTTCATGTATTTATAATTGTTTTTTTTTTCACTCAAATTTTCCAAAACTGTTGTAGGTTAACTTTAAAAGTAATACATAGACATTTGAAGCGAGATTACAATCTACTCTTCTTAGATTTGAAAAACACTTTGCCGTGAAGCGACAACATCTTATAATTATTCAGTGGGATTCCGCAAACGCATTTTTCAGGCATTTTTCATTTTCTCAAAGTTAAATTTTCAAGAGCTTCTCAAATTTGGATTTCACATTGATGATGATTCAAATTGGCTTATATCGAGTTTCAATTCATAATATATTTCTAAACAAATTTTCTTAAAATTCTTGAATAATAGACATTTTTTCAGAACGAAATAAACATTTTAGTGACTTCTCTCTATTTTTTTCCACATTGGTTTTATTCTTTGTCTAGAAGGGCAAATTGAAGCTTTCGTAAAAAAAAGAGGAAAAAAGACTGTTTCAAATTAGCTTCGTCTGACCACCTAGCAATTATCGAAACTCAATTTTCTGTTTTTTTTTTCATCAAATAGCTCGTACGCAAACAGAAATGTCACAAATCTCACCTGCCGTAATATTTTGTAAGGCCAATTTCCTCTTCACACTGACAATTGTTTTTTTTTAAGAACCCCATATTTTTCGTTGAATGCGATCACATTTGTTTCGTATTTACGACGTGTTTTTAGCTCGTAAAGAAGGTAATTTTAGTATTATGGTTTTTTGATTGTTTCCTAGCGTTGTCTTCGGGAAGGATCACTTCAACGAGCATCAATCATTGTCTTCCAAACTCACTTCGTTTCTGGCAATATAAAACCGTTGGGCTTTTTGCTTCACACGTTTTTTTTAGAATGATTGAGAAAAAATAAACGTGTGTACATCTATTCAAATTGGTTTTGCTTTGTTTTTTCTATTTATCTATTTTTCGCGAGTTGGTCGTTTTAACTTACTTCCTCTTTCTATTCCATTCTTCAAGAACATACTGTTGACAAATCAAACCAACTAGATCGCTTTTCTCATTTTTTTGTCTCTCAAGAACAATGTTTCAAACTCGAATTTTAGTAACTTCTTGTAAACCCGCCCCACTCACAAGTGTTAGTGCACTTAGACAACTTTTTTCGTCATCAGTGGCTCCCTCGAGCATATTCCAGTGGAATAAATGGGTAGATCATGGTTTTCGAAAAAACGAGCTTCCCTTTCATTTTGTTGTTCTAAAGAGTTCTCCTAAGACATATAAAGACGCATATTCGTAAACACAAATGTGAGTAAGCATGAAATTTGATCTTCTCAGGTTTTTAAAAATGTACATTTTCTAGATAATTTTATTATTAGTACGTATATTAATAGAGACATTTGCTCGGATAAAATTTGTGTTCTACTTGATCTGGGTTCCCACACGCTAAAAATTTAAACCCATCTACAGTCGGCGTCCTGCGACTGCTCTACGCGTGTAAATTTACACGCATGCACCTTGAAAAGGTCTCATGTCCAATTCACATTTTTCCGAATATCAGTAAAAATTTCAGTCTATCGACCATAAAAAATTTATATGTATATTTGTTTTGAAAATTGAAATTCGAGAATCTTGAAACCAAACTAGTTGATTAGGAATTTGTGTGAAACGAACGAATCATCTTAAATAATATTTACACTATTTAAGTTCATTTAAGTAATGATTTGGCACAAGAATGTTACAACTTGATGTTGTTTATTGGTGGTTTTTGCGACTGAAATATTCATAATCTTCCTATTCAATGATTTTGCGACCAAGAAATCTAGGGCCAAAAATAATAATAACAGTATTAATAAAGCGAAAATATTATTAATATTATAACGGTAATAAATTTAACCAAGAATACAACAGAAAATACTTTTATTTGCAACACGAACTATCACCATAAATTGCGAGAGAATGAATAACCCACGAGATGCTTCCTGCTTTTTTTCCTATTTTTTGTTTATGCCACCTCGATCAAATAATTTATGACGGTTTTTGTAACTCGGAAAAATTAACCATCTGGGGCGTGAAATCGCCAATTATATGCTCCCAACTTGCCAATGTTAATTATGCGAAAAAATTTTACTATGATCTTTCGATTTACCATATTTATCTAATTTTGTTTTTGTTTTGATGTGAAAACAATTGAAATGATGAGCGTATGTATTATATTTCCGACTCGAGACCAATTTCGAATATGACATTATTGCTTTCCCGGATAAAGTTTATTTTTTGTCTAGCCGTGCATCATAAAGTTCCGCGTTTTAGAAAAATTCATTACTCCATTTTGCCATTTGATTGCCCGCCATTAATTATTGAGACCAGTATAATTTCAAGGAATTGTGTGCTGAACGTAATACTTTTTTATTTTCAGACTTCACGTTTATTTGACCGCGCAATGTTCTCAGGGGCGACAACCGCCTTTGTTAATTTGCTTCCACGACCTCAAATCAAAACCGCTTCTTCGTCGGCTCAGTTTTTTTTTTCCATTTTTGCTTTCTCATTTTCTTTGAATTTTTTTATAATTACGATTAAGAAACAAAAAATTTTGTTGAAATTAATTGCACGCTTCACTAAAAAATCACTATGCATTATAGTCGCCGTCCGGCGACTGCTGTACGTGGGTAGATTTACGGGGATGACCTTGCTCTTGGTCTCGTACGGACTAACTGGTTATTTCGCATTTTATGGGTCGGTTCAATAATTTTAAAATCAGAACCACGTTTGAAATTCCAAGAAATGCTAAACTCATAAAAAAAATCGTTCACTTGAAAACAGCAAAATAAGCTTTCACACGGGAGTAGTAGTAGTCGGAACACAGTAGTCGCCGGACGCAGACTATACCATATTCTCAACAATGTTCATCGAGAAATTTTATTTCAAAGATCAAGCAGTTTAGTACTTTTTGCCAAAGAAACCATTCAAAATGAATTCAAATGTTTGATTTTGAGTTCAGAATTTTCATGAATTTTTCAATAGCTGTTGTAAAATTGAATTTAAAAATTCTAATAAAAATCAAATTTGTCATGTATTTCCCTGTAAGTTTTCACTATACTATTTCTCTGTTTTTTTTTTTTTTTAAAAAAAAAAACATTTCAATGTGTATTAATCTCTATAGTTCATGAAAACACCAATTTTAATATCACTTCAAGCACTACTATTTATTCATACCCTTTCGTCGAGATTATCATTAATACTGAAAAGCAATCGTGCCGCACAGCTTTTCCAATAAAACCGATCAACTTCAATTTTCGAAAACGAATGAACATGCGAAGTGTTTGAAAACACACCAAAGATTTCTAGAGAACAACAATTTTTCGAAAACGTCATATACAATAAAAATGCAAAGATTGCGTGATGAATTTTTCATCTTTAGTTCCCTATACCTGAATAATACGCATGTCCATTGTAAAAACATTCTTTCCGCACATACATAAATGTTAGCTCATATTCACCAAAACTTTTTTTCAATTATTATTTTCGGGTATATTTCAAAATTTCGCTGTAGAACAATGTTAGAAAGAGAAATTCAAACAATCAAACAAAAAACTCCCGAATTCCGATAAAGCAATATAAAATCGTCATCTGCTCTTCAAATAATACGCGAGGTCGTTCGCACCTCGTTCAATGTGTTTAACATCGTTCAATGCGTCTTCACTAGATTCATCCCCTGAGATTTCGGTAAATAGATGTGCACACCCAAAAAGTTTAACTTGCTGATTCATCTTCAAGCAATCTTCTTAAAAGCGGGAGCATAGGATCTTCCTCATTCTTACAGCATAATTGTATCTTTGGAATAAGGAATGTCATAAATTGTAAAGAGAAATTGGGCTGTTTCTCGATCAGCATGCCATGACTCCAAGATTTATGAAGAGGATATGGGCTTCCTTAGCATATTTTTAGCCTTGCCACGAAGATTATATTCGCTGGAAGAAATGATACACGTCGCTTGGAATTCTCTCTTGCTTCTTTATTTTTTAATAACTTCTCGGTGGGAATAGAATTTTTTGGCGCAAATCTGAAATTGTCTATTGAAATTTTTAACTATTCTAAAAGAAAAAGATAGTAATTTTAATTGTTTCCAATTCAGCAATGTTCGCCGTTGAATATGCCCTTTTTAAAAGGATTTTTCCTAAATAAACGGCAAACTAATATACAGATGATCATCACAAACGCGGCTCTTTGTTTCAT